TAGTAACCTGATGTTCAGATGGAACAGCAGCAGAGTCTTTACTACAATTATACAATGTAACCAATGTAATACAATTACATTGGTGAAAATAAATTTGTTATGCCTATAGTATCGTAGTATATCACAATATATCGTATCATTGCCAGATTCTTGCTAATACACCCCTGTAATTATTGTGTTGTAAGAGAAGAGGGGTTCAAGGACCTAAAAAAAACAAGCCAACATGGCTTGAAAAAGCAGCAGTGATTCTGTGAGTTCATGTAGATCTTACCCCAACAAAATTTACTCATGGGGTGTCCAGGTTTAGCCAGGCTTCCAAACAGCATCTCTTTTCGGTGTGAGTCAGATGGCCTTGCCAGCTGATACTCTGAAAAATAATTAAATATAACATAACATATGTGTCAAACACAAAATCAAATGTATATATATATATATAAATATATATTTAACCAAAATAGGTATTCATTATTTTGCTTAAATTCATGTAAGAAAAACAATCAAAAAAGCCACTTGGATGTTTAAAATAGTCAAGACAAAACTCCCATCACTTGATTGCAGAAACGACATGGTGTTTACATGAGTGTTTACCACTGTCTACAGCCTCCACTTCTCTGTCGATGGCGTCTTCAATCATCAGGGGACAAATGAAAAATTGAGCCCACCTGAAACACATCAGTGTACAACATAAGAGGACAGAATACAGACTCTATGTCTGATATAAAAATTATTTTACTGCTGGAGATTTTTGTGTTTTCAGTAAAAGGACTGTAAAGGAGTAGATCATTGTGTTGATGGTCACCACCTCACCTGTCCAGTGCCTCTCTGAAGAACTTCCTCTGCACGTCAAACTGAAAGATGGTTCTCTCACAGTCGGTGGAGGCGTTGTCACTTCCACCGTGCTTCTTCAGGAAAGCGTCAAATCCATTCTCGGCCGGGTATTTCTCACTGCCCATGAACACCACTGTAAATCAGAGAGGAAGGGAAGACTGTGTGTGCATCACACTTCCTAATAAATAGTAATTCAGCAGATATTATCGAAGTGAATCATCACACTATGTTTCCTCCTTCAAACAGATTAAATTCTTAGAATCAAAGCTTCTTGTCCGTTTCAACTCACTGTGCTCCAGGAAGTGGGCGAGGCCTGGGAGGTCGTCAGGGTCACTGAAACTGCCCACACTGATGCAGAGAGCTGCGGCTGCCTGCACGCACACACACACACACATATACTGTAAATAATAGTAGTAATAGTAATAAATGTAAATAATGTAATAATACATACTATATATATATATATACACACACACACACACACACAGAAATACTCTAAAAAAACCTAAATCCTTAAAACTAAATTAGCTGACTCATTAACTTGTCAAACCAGACTAAGCGAGAGTTAGCACCGCAGCACTCCCATGTGATACTAACTATTACATAACAGAATTCTGGTATTACTCACCTGCTTCTCTGAGCTCCCTTTCGTCTTCTTTCCTATATTCTCCTCATCCAGTTCCTCAAAATCGCTGTCCTGCTCCGCCTCCTCTTCGTCCTCTTCCTCCTCCTCTGACCCTTCACCAGAATCCCCTTCATCTTCTCTGTCCTCCTGCTCTGCCTCACCATCTTCTTCTACTTCCTCCTGGTTCTCTGCTCGTTCGCCATCTCCCTTCACATCAGCACTGCTGAAGTCGGAGATGAGCAGAGCTCTGAGGCCGTTACTCAGCTCTATGTACCTGCAGACAGAAGAAGAGTGTGTGAGAACCTCTCTCTCTCTCTCTCTCTCTCTGGAAGTTACAGTGTAACCTTTAAAAAAAACAAAGACGTCACTCTGATTACCCTACAAATAACTACATGTAAAGTTTTTTTCTGTCTTAGCCTCATGCAGCCTCAGTGACCACGTGGCCTAACAAATAAGGCGTCTGACTTATCAGAAGATTGAGGGTTCGAGTCCCTTCGTGGTTGACTCTCAAGCCTTTTTTTAGGGTTTAAATCATTTCTCCAGTGTTGGATCAATAAAGTTCACTCTAATTCATAGACAAACACAACATAATTGACTCAGAGATAACGCCGACGCCCAGGTGTTTCCTTTAATATTTGAGTCAGACTACTTTGTCACTCACCTGTACTTTTTGGGGTCACTGGGTGATTTTACGATCACTGTGTCATCATCACCTTCTGTCACCATCTCTCTGCTTCCATCACGCTCAGTCACCAGAGCCTTAACGTCTTCTGTCACTGGTGGTGGTTCTCCCTGGTCTGGAGCAGAAGCTTGTCCTGGTCCACAGCCACCACTCACAGATTTGTTGGTCTGAGGCATCTTCACACTTATGTAGAGACACGTGGACAATTACAAAAGTGAGTCAATAACAGTTTTGGCACCGCTCTCTTATATAGACTAACAGCCCTAAACATCACCTTATACTTTTTTACAACAAATTACGTTAAACTCCTAGCCTTAGATTTATAAAATAAAACAAAACATTAAGCTTGCCGTCATTTAAATAAAAATCAAGCATTTCCACCCGTACTCTAGTACCACAGTGCGTGACATTATTGCACACACCATAGTCATATATTATCGTGTCCCTGTCAATAATCAGCTAATTTAGTGGACGGCGGTTTTGTTTCTCATAGATTTCTACATTCTAACCGTGTTAAGTGTCGTTAGAAACGGGGAGTAGATAAATTAACTGTGCAATTTCTCATCGATGGATTAGCCGTCAGTAATACCGCAGTGACACAACAAAATACTTTGTCATCGTCTCTGGCAGAAAATAAATATTTTGTCAGCTGGACCAGCTGCTATCTAGAGCTTAATCACAGATAATGTGAAGTACATTTTTTCTTTTATACGTTTTATAGTTACAACAAAAAAAGACAACTCACCTTTATATGTGTTAGCGTCCTGCTAAAGGAAGTTTACGGTGAAGAATCAGAAGCCTCTGTCCCGCCCCCAAAACAAAGTCTGTGATTGGGTAAGACCACGTCTGTCGCAAAAAAATCGATGTCCCTGATTGGTTTCTGTTCTCTTCTTCTTCTTTTACCAGTTAAAAGTACGAGGCGAACCGCCTGTCGGTGCACTACCGCCACTCTCCGTTGTCTCTCTATTTCATTTAACCATCTAGTGGTGAGTTTTTTTCTTCCTGAGCTTTTAATCACAACTAGTGCAGCTTTGGCGCCACCTGCTGCTTCCGGTTTCTCAGCAATAGTGATGAGATGTGCGGCCTTCAACCAGGTGAAGCTGATACTGTTGTCCAGTCAGAGAATTTCTATATTCTTATTTTCTGTCTATGATCCAAAGGATTCAAAGCGTTAGTCCTCGACTTTTGCAAGATTGTTTTAAAAACACAAATTCACCAATTTACGTTTTTTACTTTTTCAATAACAAAATAGAAATAATGTTTTATCTATTTAGTCAGTTGAATTGAGTTAGCAATGCTAATAGACTTGGACTTTTCCCAGCTAATTGTAAGTTAAATAAGTTAACTACTTAGAAGTATTCTAAATTATTCTCTGCACCAGTAGTTCTCAAACATGGTACGCATAATAATGGTGAAATGGCAACAAAAAACTTGACTCATATAATGGTTAAAGGATGTGATTTTTATTATACTAAATTGCATCTATAATATACAAACATTGACAATATTTGTACATCACTTTGTGCTTCTCCTCTGTTCAGCGAACTGTAAGACATCAAGTTTTACATAAAGTCTAAATAGTATTTGTCCATGGTATACACAGCATAAAAATAAATTGATAAATTCATACAACACCATTAGAATTGCTAAGTCTATCATTTACAAATTCACTTAAAAAATAATCATATGAAGACAATGTCAATATTGTACTGTATATCATATCAATATGAAGACACACACGGTGAGGAGTCACACACAAAAACGTGCGCTGTAGTAGCTACTGTATATAACAATTTGGCAGGATACTGATTTTTTTTCTTTAATCGTCATATGATTTAATATATAATAATAGATGCACGTCATTTACTCTGTCTCTCACAGCCCCACGCGCCGAATCTCTGTCGACCATTAAAGTATCGCACTTCCGTCAAAGATACCATACATGTACACAACTAAACACGCAATAAATATCATGATAACCATAGGCAACAACCGACCATGTTGTTTCTAATATCTCACACGTGGTAATACACACGCACACACACACACACACACACACACACTAACACACCCATTCATACTTTCATGTAGGAAACACTGCAAACATGACAGCTACATGACTACAGCTGCTAACAGGGGGAAGAGGGCTGGTTTACTCTGCTCACACCAGTCGACAGCATCCGTGGTTTGCCACGGTGTTAGACTGCAGACTCCAGACTGGTCTGGCCTGTGCAAAAGTTCCAGTCACAGCATACCAGGACAGAGCACTTCAACAAGGTCACCCAGAGGTATAGGGTCAGGGTGAGTGTTGGCAAGAATCTGGTGATACGATACGTATCACAATATTGCGATACTATAGTCACGACAATATATGGTTTTTTTCCCCCAATGTAACTGTAATCAAAGTGTCATCAGAGTAAAGACTCTGCTGCTGTTCCATCTGAACATCAGGTTACTAACATTGGAACAGAGGGATCTACATTTGGAATCACTGGAGGAGAAAGAAAAATGATGAGCAGCTGTGGCAGTGTGAGGTTCTGTCTGTGCTACAGTTGGAGCAGAGAGCCAGTGCTTGACTACACCTGTGACCTCCAACAGTCAACACTGAGCAGATTAAAACTACAGGTTGTTTCTGTTTCTGTTGTTTAACCTCGTCTCCTTTGCATGTTCAGAAACAGACCAGAGAACTCTGAGAGGCAGGATCACCGTCTGGATAATGATTCCTGGACGTTGTCGGTCATTTATATGTCAGCCGACCATCATCCTGGTTCTCAAATCATAAAATTCTTAAATCTCTGATTTAAACTCAGCCAGCAGTGAAACAACCCTGATCTGAAGGTTTCCCTAAAAGAATCCTGCACACACACACACACACACAGATGTGTGGAACGTTAACACAGTCCCATGTGGACCACTACAGGCTGGTCCTCATTGCTAGGCCAGACCAGTTCACACCAACTCTGATCGTACTTAGAGGACACCACTGTCCTCACCCCTCCTCGCCTGTATTAAACATCACCCCTGTGAGGACATGGAGGAAATGAAAGCAGCTGTAAACACTGCAACGAGTGTTCCGATTAATGACTGCTCACAAACATGGATTGAAGCAGAGTGTGTGTGTGTGTGTTTGAAGGAATGTTACAATAGTTAACTTTTTTTTTTTTTTCAAATTTTGTGGCATTAGGGAGGGAGGAGGCAAATACGATGGGGGCGGAGAGGAGGGAGGGGCAGACAATGGATGATCAGCAGCACTTCTGAGGTAGCTGGGCAGGCTTGTCCGTCAGTCTGGTGGTCTTGGATCCTGGGGCCGTTGGCACCTCCACGTCCACACGCTCGGACATCTTCACACAGATGATGTCCACCAGGCGCTCGAAGACCTGCCGCACGTTGATGTTCTCCTTAGCACTCGCCTCGTAGTACTCGAAGCCTAGAAGAGACGACGGGAGAGTGATCACTGGAACTCTAAGCCTACGTAGGGACCTGACGTCTGGGTTTAATAGTGGGTCACAACCAATGTTTTCAGGAGCATACTGCCACCTGCTTTACTACAGTGTGTAATGTCATGGTATGACCAGTCACTTTTTGAGATAACTCAGCCTACATCTTACGCCTTGATGTGCGAATCACTTTTTATTCCAACTGATGAGAATTGTCACGCATCTGTATCGATTTTGAACCAATTCACGATGCATCGTTACAGCCCTACATAGGATGGGTGAAAAGTTAGCTCAATGGTTATATAGATGAATCAAGCAGCAAAATTAGAGGTTCATTTGGAGAGTGAGATGAAGTGATGACGAGTTACCAACATGTTAATGGTAATTTAAAAAAAAAACGACATTCCTGAAATTCAGGCTACAGTATAAGTTAGCCATGACCTACATCTGGGTGGAATCCAGCCTGTTACAAAGTGATGTAGGTCGGACACTGGTTGGTTGGTCTAAGTTAACTGTGTAAGACTTTCCTCCAACACACAGTCATTAACATACGTCTGAAAGCAGTGGAAATGTGCAGACTGAATAATGTGATGTCTGACAGCAGATCTTCCTCATCAGCTTCTTCATCATCATCATCCTCATCATCATCAATCATCCCTTTGTATTTTCTCTCCTGTCTCTTTGTGCAGCTGCTGAAATGACTCAGAAGACGTGGCCGTGTTTTGTCACACAGCGATTTCACTGCCGTTGTGTGAGACTTTCTCCTGAATCGGTTCAAAGTGCTGGAACACAGATGTTTAGACAATCTCCCTGAGGCGTGTGCTTCCATTCAGGTCAGACAAAAGTGAAAAGACCAGTAAATCCACACATACATTCACAGCTGAGCAACAGATCCATGTCATTATGAACATTTACAAGTGCACACATCCTGAGGTGGACTCTCTGCTGCCCCCGGGTTTGACAAGCCTCGAAACAGAGCAGCACTATTAAACATATATATATGAGTGTGTTTGTGTGTGTGTGTGTGTGTGTGTGTGAAGTTTTGTCACTAATGACTAAAGTCATTAGTACAAGTTCTTAACCAGTGTCAGAAACACTGGCCCGTGTTACGTTTAAATGAACCTTTTCACCAAGGAGTGACTTCCTGTGTTAGTTCTTATGTCCATGGAAATCAAGTATTCATTAATCACCACAAATGGAATGACATGTGACATCAGGTCCACCAGGTTGGTACAGACACTCATTTTAGTTGTACTAACTACAGTGAAAACAAATCGAGGCTGTGTTGCCTCTGTGAAGCTGCTTCAGTCTAACATGAACCAGCAGCTCTAGTCATCCTTTCAAAGCCTGAGCTAACGAGGATCTTGTGTTTCACTAACGCCAACATTGATGGTTTTTTGGGTGGTTTCTATTTACTAACAGAAATCCTTACCTAACTGGTCAGCAAGGTGTTTGCCCTTCTCTGGAGGCACCACCCTTTCTTCATCCATGTCGCACTTGTTGCCCACCATGATCACCTGGGCATTATCCCAAGAGTATGTCTTAATCTGGGTGGCCCTGGAGGGGGGAGGAGCCGGGGTGAGAAGCAGAGAGGGGGAGAGAAAGGTTCTACTGAACACCAACAGTTTTTGCAGTCACGTACCAGTCTTGGACGGCGTTGAAGGACTCCTCGTTGGTGATGTCAAACATGAGGATGAAACCCATGGCCCCGCGGTAGTAGGCCGTGGTGATGGTACGGTATCGCTCCTGACCAGCTGTGTCCTGGAGACAAAACCCAACATGGAGAAAATGTAGATGTTGAATGTTGTTGTTGAATTGACGTAGCACCAGTGTTGGATTTTTGATTTTTGAAATCGTAGATTCCTTCACAGCTCAGAGAAACAAACAGGAGCTGAGAGACAGACAACGAGCAGTGAAATACATTACTGTATCATCTGCATATGGGTGGAGTTTCTTGTTTTCATATTAGTCAGTCACTCCAAAGGCATCAACTAAGCCAGTAAACCAAAAGGATAAAACTTCTTCGTTGATGTGCTGCTGTGTGAAAACATTTTTCACAAAGGCGTCCGACATATGATCTGTGTTTGTGTTTACATATATTGTGACTAAATCCTTGCACCAATATGCTAAGCTTAGCTAAAATAACACTGCACCTGCTCTGACTGTTTGAATTGGTAGAACATTTAAAGGGTGGTTTCCCTGGAGATTTAAGCAGTTAAAGTAACAAAGAACACACAGCCCACACAGGTTCTGACGATTAAAGCCAGTACTGGCAAAAATAGAGGAAAAAAACTGCAGTGACATCAGTAATGTGACAGGAGAAACCACAGCTGCAGCTAACCGTTGTCAATACCTCAATGAACGGGTTGTTCTTCTTCACTTTGGTTTTTAGTTCCTAAGAAGCACGGCATTTAGGAAAACAGATAAAACATATAATTAACTAAAATCATCTGATAATATCCTGATTTTGTCTGCAAACATCTGCAAACATATCAAAATATCACATTTTATTTATCACAGACAAGCACAAAATACATATATATTTATATATATTGTATATATATATACATTTACATTTTGTAAAAATTGCGAAAGGGTAAAAAGTAAGGTTTAAAGGCCCACCCAGAGGGGGACAGGACTACAACCCAAGATATTAATAATATAATTAAATTACATTTGATGCCAAAAATGTTGGGGACCACACGGTGAACTGCAGAGGAAAAATGTCTGTGTGTGTGTTTATATATACAATGAGAATTCAAGCTGCTCCAAAAATGCAAAATATCTTGAAAACCTAATCCGATGCTTCTGCTTTTCTCTGACGGGGGGGCGATTGGATTGGGGGGGGGCTTTTTTTAGCCTCGTCTCTAGGATCTAAACCATTATAACTGGTGCCGCAGAAAACGGACCCCCCCGCTGCTCATCCATGACAACCATCACATCCATCAGCCCCCCCCACGCCCCGTCTGTCCACACCAACCACAGCTGCTCTGAGTGCAGCCGTTCTTCTAAATTTATCTCCATTGTCGTTGACTGTCTCTTTACTGCTCTCTCTCTCTCTTTGGTCTTCAGGGAAACAGTGAGTGAGAGCATTTAATTAACCGTAACGTATGTGTGTGTGTGTGGATGCTGAGTTGCTGTATTCCATTGTAACATTTCTGTTTCACTGAAACATTTTTCACATTTTCATGTTTTGTTTTTTTTTTGTTGATTTCTCTCTGCTGTGCGGAGAGATGACTGTTTTCAACTCCAGTTTCATCCACGAGACATCTGAGTGGTTTGTCCAAATGTGTGTGCTGTGAACCAGACCTCTCTCTCTGTCTGTCATTGGTCAAAGACCTTGTTTGCTTTAATTTAGCTTAAGGTATTTACAAACAACAGTTTTTAAAAAATGTAATTCAGTTGGAGTTCAAATCTGCCGACTGCACCTTTAACCCCAACTTTCCATATATTTGTGTTGTTCTTCATGGCTGCTGCATCAGCTGAGCTTTCAGAAGAAATGAATCGCATCTGATTAGCTCTAATTATAGCACAACACCTCACCCTCCTCCCCCCATCTGTAGCCATACATATAAGGACACACACACACACACACACACACACACACACACTCCCTGCTCCGGGTTCTTTGGTCCCCCACAGGGTTTCAACCTCTTTGCCTCGAGAGGTCGCTTTAATTGCCACTGAAGACAGTAAAATGTGTGTGTGTGTGCGTCAGTGTATGTGTGTCTTGGCGAGGGAGCGTGAAAAGCTGCTGCCATGGCAACAACATCACCGCTGATGACAACGTGCTGTTGCCGAAGTCTGTCGTTGGTTTTTTCTCCCCCCCTCAATCAGCTTGTTGTCGACTGAGAGCAGAACAGGATGTTTCACTGAGACACTGTGGTATGATCCAGAACACCATGACGAAGAGGAGGGTGATGATGATGAAGATTGTGATCCACTGTGTTAAACTGTCGAACCCTTGTCTAAAGATGGTAATAATCAGTCTTGCTAACACGATTAGCCACCGTGTTACACATCATGTGACCTGGCTGTGTTACAGTGATGTTACAGTACATGTTACATCACTGGGTCCTGTTACATCATGAATTGGTTTAATATGTGTTAAAAACAGACGGAGGAAGCAGGAAGTGCAGATGATTAGTAAGCAGGGAGTGAGGGAGCTCTAATGGGATGAAGATTTTAAAGGTTGTGTGACATCATCAAGATATCATCTAACTGAGAACCCCCCCCCCCACCAATCCCCACAAGTCTGTACTACAATACAGCGTGAATACTGCATTCCAGCACATAGAAGATTAAAACATTTCAGATACATCAAAATATAAAAAAGTTACAACAACAGCATTTAACTTCAAAGTTATTGATTTGATATGATGATGATTTCTATATTTACCCCCATCATTGATTATGTTGGCGCAGTTAGAGAGGGACACACACACCCCAGCAGCACCACCACCCTCTGTATTTTTGTCAGAAACTCCTCACCCAGATCTGCAGCTTGATCCTCTTGTCGTTACGATAAACCGTCTTCACCTTGAAGTCGATACCTACGGTGCTGACGAAGGAGTTGCTGAAGGAGTCGTCGGCGTAGCGGAACAGGAAGGATGTTTTCCCAACGCTGCTGTTCCCGATGATGAGCAGCTTGAACATGTAGTCAAAGTTCTGGTCCGAGCCATCCCGCTGACCGAAACGCTGGTCTGCCTTGGCCATCTGAAGAGACAAAGTCTGTCAGCTCCCAGGTGGAATGTACAGTACACAGAAGTACTGCATCTATGGTCCATCTGTGATACTTTACTACTTTACTGTGTTTCCTGCTCAGTGGTACCTCTACTTCAGTAACATACAAATGTATTTCTACTTTACTGAAGTCCCTCTATTTGGTCAGACTTCATACTTTGACTCCACTCCATTCATTGAAAAGTACGTAGTAGTATGTAATCATCAAAGTTGCAGTCGGGGGGGCGGGGGTCCAGACCATCAGCAGCACTGCTCTGAAAAAGCAGGATTTGAACAACTGAAGTAACGTACTCTGTACTTCAGTAGTGCAGTACCAGTCCTCTGCTGGTTTCTATGGCAACAATAGTTAGTTTGGTTGCCAACACATTAAATCAATTATCAGTCTGGAGCTGATAGCAGTTACAGTACGTCTTAGACAGTACCAAGTACCAGTACCCCAGTCCAGAGGCATTCACACTCACATTCACACCGATGGTCAGTTTACACTGAACATATATATATATATATCAAATCCCTTATCTGCATGTTTTTGGACACTCACGGGGGGGGGGGGCAGTAAGAGCTGGGGCTGAAACCAGTGACTTTCTTATGGTTAGGCTAGAGGGCTTACCAACTAACCACTGTGTGACAAGATTAATGTTACTGTCTGTGCTGCTACTGAGGTGCTCTGAGGTCACACACACAGACACACACTCCTGTGGGAGACATTACCAGCACGTACATGCATACATACATTTTGATGCATCATGGGACCAATATAAGCTGAGTATGTGTGTATGTGTGTGTGTGTGGTGTTTACTTATAGCTATCCTAGTGGGGACCTTTTTTAGTTAAAGAAAATAGTTGTGATGACCCCTTGACCTTGCTGGTCCTAAGGAGGGTATTTGAGGGTTGGGGTTGTATTATGTCGGTGTGAAGTCCTCACAACTCATTAAAAACCAGCATGAATGTTTATACGTGTATCCGTGTATCCTTGTACATCTTTACTTGTAGAGACATTTTAAATACTACTGTTGTGGGGACACTCATTCTGTGAAGTGCTCACAAAACACACTGTGTGCGCGCGCGCGCGCGTGTGTTCAGTAAACATCATTGTTGTTTAATCTGTCTTACCTTTCCTGGGCGGGTCTAGCACTCTGTCTCTCTGTCTCTCTCTCTCTGTCTCTCTCTCTCTCTCTGCTGTGCACCTGATGGTCACAGCTCGCTCGTTGTCCACGTTCCCAAAAAAAGCCAAATATGAAAAAGATGAATGAAAACAACGACCGTGTCGTCTACTCCAACAGTTACCGAGGCTCGGTCCAGATGCAGCCGAAGCCAGGTGGTGATGATGCGTCGCACCGGCCTGGTGTCGCTGTCCGTGCTCACAGACTCCACCAGGAATGAGGTGAAACTGCCTGAAAACGTCTGTGCTGCTCCTCACCTCATGCACAAACACACGCACGCACGCACGCACGCGGCTTCCGTTTCTTTACGTACGTCTTTACGCAGACATTCTGCAAAGGTGGAGCAATGTTTGGAAACGGCTCAGCTGCTCCTCCTCCTCCGCCGCCTCCTTCTCCTCTGCTCCAAAATAAGCTCCTTCCCTTAGAATAAACACTTGTTTCCTCTACTTTTTGCAGGCAGCTCCTCCCCTCCACCGTCTCTGCCCTATCACACAGCAGATCTCCGGAGCAGCAGCAGGAGCAGCAGCAGGAGCAGCAGCATTTGCAGGCTATGACTCATAACTGAGGCAGTGAGGCGACATCATCATCTTCATCAACTCCATCCTCCTCCTCCTGCTGATCAGCAGCGGCGTGACCAGACCTTTTAAGGGGGGACTTCATAGACAGGTCAGAGGGGAACACATTAACACCACGAGGGGAATATTAAAAATGGAGGTTGATAACAGTGACAACTACGACAGAGACTGAAGCCAAGTTCATTCTTCCTTCTCCTACATAAAAACACATCTCTGGCGACACCAGGTACCACGTCTGATTAAACGCAGAGGCTCCAGCCTGTTGTTGATTCAACAAGTTCCTCAATGTGGAATCAATGTTTCAAATAAACAAAAATAAAAAATAGTATTTTTGTATTTATTTTAAAACGTACTTCTTCAACTACAGCAGTTAAACAAGAGCCTGGGCCTTCATGTGACCCGGAACAGGAAACACCCAGGACCAGCTCTGCTATAGCAAGCCCAGCTAACTCCACATCACACCTAGCACCGGGGCCGCCATCGGGCCAATTAGCCAACTCGCCCACAGTAGAGCCACCACCGAATGTTCTTGGCGAAAGTCACTGCTGTCCCAAGCAGCCTGCTTTTTCGGAATTTCCTACAAAATAATTGGAAAGACAAGATCATTTACTTTGCGGCGTTTACTTTTGCACTAGGTAAGACACGTTATTTCACATGTGTAGACCTATTCTGTATTTACAACCATGCTGTAACAACTGTTGTTGAACTTTAAGGTTGGCTGCCAGTGTGCTCCAGTTGTGTGCCCTGTGCTGTGTAGTTTGCCTTTACGGGAGGCTTGGTGCTGCTGTCTGTATATGTGTAATAGCCTCTGTCACAGAATAGTTATAATGCACAGCGGTGTGGACAGTAAAGCGATCATTTCATTGTACAGGGCAATCCGTTTCCTTACTGCACACATGACAATGAAATCTTTAATCTAGTGCCCTGACATTAAAATGCTCCCCTCCTCCCCCCAAAACGCAAAAGTCAAAGTTCCCAGACAGACAGCGGTGGTTTGAGTGGACAGTCAGTGTACAGTGGGTGTGGTCTGGAACCCTATAGGTTCTGGTCTTCGACAGGGTCACGGAGGTTAGGGAGTTAAATGTTCTGGTTGAGGAAACACCACAACTTTAAAACATTTACACCAGTGTTATCATCTGTGTACAATTTATTGCAGAATAACAGTTACATTGCTACATATATTTCCATATATATACTTCCAAATATATTTCCACATATATTTCCATATATATATATATTTCCATATATATTTCCACATATATTTCCATCAACAGTTTAAAGTAAGTACTATTTCAAAAAGCGTTTCATGTTATACATATTCTATATGCTGCTTTTTCAATTTTTGTATGTGTTTCCATAAAATACCTCACAGTGGTTCAGTTTTTATGGAATATTCACTGGACTTTAACCCCAAACCTTCTGGTAGGGTCGTTGCTGGGATATTCCCGCGCCTCAGTAGTGTAAAAATCAAATCTGATATTCCCAGTATTGTACAGAAGATGGTGCTGCGACGACACCAATTGAACAAAACAAACATGAGGCTAGGTGTCGATTTAAACAATTAAACAATATTTTACAATATTTACATTTTTCTCCATTGGAAACAAGATAAAGATCAAGGTGGTCAGTGTGTTTCTGCTCATGTTCTGGGTCCAATAATCCGTCCTCATCCATCAGTCACTCCTGGGTTGACTAAAGCACATTTCTATCACTTTTTGAAGAGTTCAATTTCACTACAAAGAAAACCCTCAAATGAACACTGATTTTTCAGTCATGAAGGATTTTGATAGATGTTCTAGGAGACATTTTTCTCACGGCCCCTCGTCTCCCACCGTGGTTTCTCTCACAGCTTCCTTCCATTCAGGTCCTCGTAGAACAGCAGGTAGGCCGTTCTCTGCCGCTGTTTACAGACTGAGGTTCCTGTGCTCTGCCACACTAAGCTGTCGTCGTAGGTCAGCCAGTTGTCTGTCAAACCGCCTGAACTGTCTCTCTGCACGCCGTCGCAGATGTAATGGCCATACTGGGTTCTGCTTCCTAAATGGCTGATGATGCTGACCAATGAGTAACAGACCTCTGGGTTTTGACCGGCACTGGAGTTGAGGTTCACCTCCAGATCCCGTAAGAGAAGCACAGGATGGTTCAACTTCATCTGAGTGTAGGTGGGTGTGAAGGTGAACCTCTTCAACTGGAGGATCAAGACGTTGGGAAGGGTGGAGAATACAAACTGTTGCATGGACATCCCACCACCACACTCACATTTGTACTCCAGCTGGGTCTCCTTAAGGTACTCCTCCAGACAGTCACTGACCGTGCCTCCAGGGACCAGGTCTAAGGAGAGGTTGATGTACTCTTCCTCTTTAGCTGATGTCACACCACAACCTGTGCACCTCCGGGTGTTCAACATTCTAAAGACGATATTAGCTTCCACCGGGCAGGAGTAACTCCGGCCCATGACGTGTGCAGCCATCTTCAGCTCCAGTGTCAGAGACCTGATGGTGTTCAGCACACAGCTGAGGAACTCGTGAGCGTCCTTCTGAAGGTCATCCTCAAACTCGGGGTTGAACTCGGCAATAATCTTTTTGAACGAGGTCAGCACACACGTCTTCTCTATGATGTTGTTGGAGGAGCGACAATCCCCAACCCTCACCAGCCCACTGAGGATGTCAGAGTTGGGGCAGTAACAACAAACCTCCTGCTGGTTTTGGACCTGTTCTACAAAGTGTGTGAGAGTCAGGAGACCTTGAAGAGTAGAATTAATGTAGCATGTTTGCTCCAGGTTAGGAAAGCCAAGGCAGAGCAGCTTTTTTCTGTCCTCTTCAACTGCACATGTGTCGTACGCGTTCGGTCTTTCGGACGGGGCCGGTCCATTGAAGATCAGCTCATTCTGTAGAGTCCCTTCATGGCCACCTCCCAGGTTGGGCTGCCACTTCAAATAGTTGTTAGCCTGTGGGGTCAAGTGGACCACCTTATTCTTGCTGATGGCCACGTGCTTCCTGTGTTGAATCTTCTTGTGTTTGAAGCGTTTCCTGTCACCATCAAAGAGTTTCCGTGACTTGCTTTGTTTGAAGATAGACGTCGGTCGATAGTAACTAACAACAGTGTGTTGACTCGGTGGTTGACCACTAGGGTTGGACTTCCATTCTGAAGGGCTACTGTCTTTAGGAGCAACGTGCACGGTCTGCTCCGCCTCACCAGTGTGAAAGTTGTTGGAAAGTAGGAAAGAGTTGTCCACTGGGTTGGACTCGATCAACTCTTTAGCGACAGCTTCAGGTCTGTCAATTTCAACAAACCAAGAATAGATCCCATCTTCCAAAGCAGAAGACAACGTAAAACTTGTCTCTTCAGTCATATCCTTGTCTTCTGGAACCCCGTGGTTGGGTTTGTTCTCAACAGGGAATATTATAGTATTTAGGGACATCTCCTCCCGCTGCAGGTGTCCAACTTCCATGTCACCTAAACGCTTTTTCTTCCTTAATCTAAACTCCTTCCTTAAAAAGGCTTCTTGGTGTCATGGTTCTTCATGTAGATCTGGTTATCTGTCCATGATATGAACTGAAGCTGAATGAATGAAAGTTATTCTCTAAAGGATCAAAGTGTTTGCTGCGGCACGTGTGCTTTAATCTTTTAATGTCTTTAAAGTAACCTCAGCCAAGAAGAACAGAACCTCCATTAACATGCTAACATGCCTAACCCTGCAGGTGGTGCTTCGAGCACAGCTATGGGTGCTTTGGGTTTACAGTGGTGAACGGTGAAGTTTATGTATATGTAACCTCAGGTCAGAGCCCAGAGTCAACCACCAAACACCAGCTGTGGTCCTGATGGGACGACTGGTTAACCACATCATAGAGCTGTAATGACTAGACATCACTGTTTGAACAAAAGCCTGCATTTAGTGCAAGGATTCACATACTGCTGTATGCCTGTAGGTGGCGACGTTTGTAAGAATAAACAGCATGGATGTTAAACACGTTTTTTGGTTTAAAAGTTATTTAAGTTTAGCCAAAGGCTAAAAGGCCAACAATGTGCTGAGAAGACACTTTTACACACATTCCTTTGGAGGTGACTCAGAGGAATGAGACATCGGAGCAGTCCTTTTGTGTAAGCAGAAGTCACAAATCATGTTTACTTAGTACAAAGAGCTACTTGTTTTATACAGACTTCCCCAGAAGTGTAGTAATAATTAGTTCTGGGATGTTCAACAGTAGACACTCTTCTGACCACTGTCATTGAATAACACTGTAACTGTCACTGATTCAAAAAACACAGGAAGCGTTCCATATTTGACCCTCTTGCTGACTAGTTTTATTTTTAGAACATACAACTTAGGTAGTCTGGTCTAAAACATGAAAATATAAATAGGCGAGAGTAGTTGTCAAAATGAATGTTAATTAATAAAGATTCAGGTTTTTGAACACATTATGCTAACATCCAACAATACCATCATCCACCCACTCTCCTCTGCTCTAACACACTGTCATTTACATACACGGTGATGGGTAAAAAGCAGAGGTCACGTTCGGTCATGTGCAGTGGTGTGCTGTGTGTCACAATGACAAGTAGTTCACTTTGACAAGTTCACTTTCTTCCTTCCTAAAAAGTTCCAGTTCTGAATTTCCTGAATCGGATCAACGTCTTACCAACGTGTGAAGTGAAAAAAAAATCAAATACAAGTGACTCATACACGACCTACCGCTTTAGTAACTCACGTGCCTGTGTTGATTCATGCAAGAAACATGTGGGGTGATGGGCTCACTGTTGTGGGTGTGTCGTGTGTCGAAACAGCGCGCACATGGCGGCAATTCAGTTTAGCCCAGTAGTTCCGAAGCAAGCGCAGAGTGACCATGGTCGTAAGATCGTTCCCCGTTAACAGTAAGTGTTTTGAAACTTAACGTAGGATTATATTCATTGATTTCTGCAGCGAACATCCCAGATGTGTGCGCACTAGTCCAGTACTCCAGTAACCAGGACGTTTGTACTTTACTACAGGACAGTGGTTGGTGAAGAAGAAACTTAACGTAGGATTATATTCATTGCTTGATATGATCTTTGGACTTGGTGGAGAGCGGACGCTGGCATGCCTGGGGTGTGAGGGGCTTCACGGAGTATTACTATTAAATGTGTCCTTTGGATACCGGCAATCTTAAAACGGCAACTGGAGCCAGTTCTGTCGTTTATTCAGCCGAGCATACACACAGACGCACACACACACAGACAGAGATGATGTAAGGTCCACACAGGGACCGGGGGATTCCTGCACAGACATGATGCAATTTTATAACAGTTGGTCGTACGTGGCTGCTGAACAGGTCGATTTACTGCTGCCGTGAATGTCATGCAGCTGAAACTTTGACACCCCCGCCCACACTGCTGGCTGATTCCAGCTTGTCGGGTTGCTTTGCTCACATTATAGTCTGTAGATGTTGAAGTAAAAAGTCAAAATTAAGAAATAAAAAGTGAAAATGATGGGGGAAAAATGTAGAATTATAAGATAAAAAGTCACAATTATGAGAAAAAAACATCGTTCCAACATCTCTTGTAAAATATATCTTTACAAATCTATTGTAAAGAAAAACCCCTAATAAGCCATAATAAGTTCTGTGTTTTGATGGAAAGTCATTGTCATCAATAGAGAGTTTAAACATCTCGAGTGGTGATGATGATGTGGACAGACATCATCACAACTGACTCGCAGAGCAAAAAACATAGGAACTACACTTCAAGGACTTCAAAGACTTCTTTCCTTTAATGCTTCACTTGCTGCAATGATTCCGGAATCTTCCCTCTGCCATCCAGGGTGAATGAAGTTCCAGTCCTCTCCATGGAGTCCATCTATTCTGGATGAACACGTTCATTTTGTGTCTTCTTATTTGTAAAGTAAAATATTAAAGAGACTGAGAGGGTTGGACCCAGACCACTAGATGGAAGAGATGAAACTGGTGGGCTGGACACGGAGGTCTGTTTACATTGACACAGCAGCCAGTGTGGATTATGGAAATGAGAACGATTCCTGGAGTTCCAGGATGTGAAGACTAAAGGAAGTAGTGAGTTCATTAGTAAAACAATGAGGAACCAATAGACGAGGAGGAAGGTTTCACTGCCAGTGGGACTGCAGGGTCCCCACTTCCTGGTCCCCGAAGTTCGGGGAACCTTTACGAAGATGGTGACACGACGGTACGGTCGTATGTCCACAGTATGTCCACTGTGAGGCGCTGTAATGATGCCACAAGATGTAAAATGGTGGTTCCCAATGTAGGGGGCAGGTCCGTTGGGGGCAAGAAGCTGTCCTGAATGTACTAAAATAGGCAGCTTGACAATAGCCCCATCTACAGAGGGTGGAGTTGTAGACAGTTTGGGAACCACTGGTCTAAATAAGGACATGTTGATATCACCAGGCTGCAAATGTGATCAAACGCTGGTGGTTCTTGCTGATTGGCTAATGTTCCATGGCTGTTTAAGGGAACTTATAACCAGATAAGTTTTAAGACAACACTGACCTGGTGTTGGAGAGGACAGTACCAGACTTTAAATCCACTGTGTCAAGTCCACATACAGGGAACATACAGTAGATTAGGGTTCTCAAACTATGGCACATGTACCACTAGTGGATTTTTTGGCTCCTTTGACTGTAACGCATGGAAATCAGAAACGATTTACCTGCATTGGCAAAATAGTGGAGAGTTCCAGTTTTGGTTCAGGCAGGTCTGCAGAGACTGCAGTAGGTCTTTGTGGACCAGCTGGAGTCAGTGCTGTCATGTCTGTGCTCATGTTCAACTGTACAGGGCGTCTTTTGCTGACAAAAGGCCAATTACGGGCTTATAATCCTTGGTGTAATAACATGATCTTTTTAAACTAATCAGCTGAACGGAGTACAGTGTCCATGCTGCGGACCTTGTGTTTAATTTCTGGTTTCGTTAAATGACTTTTTCACATAACCCTTGGTTTCTGTGCCTTTCTGTGTCAAAGTAAAAACAGGCAGTCAACAGGCAATCAAACCATTATTGTTACATCACATTTAATTACAGTTACAAGGAATCATAATGAGTCACAACAACTACAGGGACACGGTTGTCCACAGTGGAAACATGGTCCGTCGGGTGTTGGCAGGAGGTGCCTGGGTCCTGGGGGGGGGTGACAGGAAGAGAGTCTGTGCTCCTGAGCCACGGGTGCTGCTGCATTTGCTCCAGAGTTGCGCGGTCCTTTAGCTTCAGAGCCAAACACATGTTGAGAAAGTCCTGGCAGTCCTGGGACAGATCGCTGCTGATGTTGAACTCATTGCACAGAAACCCCTTGGTGGTGAAGTGAAGGTATCCATCCAGCATTTCATACAGCAGAGCAGCCAACTGCCAGACTGTGGTGGGTCCAGCTCTGTAGGTCCCACGTACGTAGAACTCTGGTGGAACATACGCAGACGTTCCAGAGAAGGAGCGAAAGCACTTGTTTCTCTTGTTCAGAATACAAGCACATCCAAAATCGATGATCCGGACTCTTGGAGCGTCCGAGCATTTCTCAATGAGAACGTTCTCAGATTTGATGTCTCTGTGGAAGACTCCTGCTGAGTGCATCTGGATGGATGCGTCCACCAGCTGCCTCATGATGACCTTGGCTTCGTCCTCTTCCAGCGGACCATTGACGTCGATGAACTCTAAAAGGTCTGTGCATGGCACCGGTCTCTCCATGACCAGAACAATGTGCTGCTCCAGGTCATACCAGTCCAGTATGGACACGGCTGTGGCTCGACCCACCAGCTCTGGTTCTCCTCCAGCTTTTTGCATCAGGAGAACCTCAAGAGGGATCTTATGTCTGGTGCCGTTGACTGTCACCGATCGCATGGACACGTCTAATTTTGGTATACGTTTGATTGCCACTGGAAGATTATCAGCCCTTCTTTTTCCAGCGTAGACTGAAGCAAACCCTCCTTTGCCTAGCATGTACAGAGGCTTGTACTTGGTCATGAATTCAGCATTACTGGTATGACCCAGAAGGAAGGCACTGCTCCCACCCTGACTCCTCTCTGTGACCAGCACCTCCCTGGTCTCCCAAGTACTCCCAGACTCCAATGGTTCACCCTCAGCCCTCTGTCGTTTTCCGTTGGTCTCCTGTTTTCTTGGAGCCTTTCTTTTCATTGTTGTCACCCAACAATGGAAACCAGCGTTTTGTTGGGTTTGTTGTATGTCTGTGATGCACGTCTGTGTCAGTGGAATCAGTAGAACTGTTTAGAACAGTAGAGACTGAAGAACTTCGTGATACCGTCTTGGTTTGACCTCTACTTCTTTTAGTGCAGTAGAGCAGCTGATGTGTGTGTAGTAGTACTGCCTCCGTTGGGTTTTCAGTACTTAGGTTCTTGGTTGACAGTGAGTTTTGTTCCAGTGGCCTGAGCTCCTTGGCTGTTTCAGGTGCTCAGGTCACTGGGGACTTAAAGCGTTCCACAGCAGGACAGTTATGACATCATCTGGACTTTCAGATGAAAGGAAGCAGAGATTATATTCTGTGGTAGCCCCTAGTGGTGTCACTCACAGGTGCCACCTACTGTCTTACTGTGTGCAAAAGTGCATTTTCGGTTTTTGCCATCATAACTTATAAAAGTCCGAAAGACATAAAAGTCTTTCAGACTGTTATAAGTTATGATGGCGCAAGCAAAAACCACGGCCAGCAGGGGCTTGTCTGAAAACAAAGGAGACCTGCCGTAAAAAATAGATTGTTTTTAATTAAAACAAATTTCTGATTCTATTTTCTTCTTTTCTTTTTAGGAATGGTCCTCTTCTCTGTGCCTCTGTTCCTTTTGCCTGGACTATGTCTAACTATAAGCTGTAATGTATCAAGACAGCACGACAACTCGGTCCGGTACCAGTTGTCTCAGCCGTATGGAGACACCTGCACCGTTAGCTGTGAGCTCGATGACGTGAGTTCAGCTCAGTGTGTACTAGAGACTAGACACCAGAACATGATCATAAGTTGAGCTGGTGTATCTAATCAAGTGGCCAGGCAGTCAGTGAAGTAGCTCTGTGTTTGCATCTTTCCAGGGGACAGTCATCGCCAAAGACCATGAGATAGCTGAACACTTGGTGCAGTCTTGTAACAACCAAGCCATCGTCCTGAAGGAATGCCACCGCTACCTGCTTTTTCAAATGACCTGCTCTGGGGTAGAAACACTTTTTTAATACACACCAAAGTCAGACACTGAATTCTACAGAGCCCCTAAAGGGACATGGGGGGAAAAAATGAAACGTAATTACTCGTAATTAAATTACTCGTAATTAAAGTTCACCATATATACAGTACATATGTCACACATGACATGCCGGTATCTTAGATTTCCCAACCGCACGTACTGTACATGATTGTTTGTTATTTTAATGTATTACCCTGTGTATGTGTGGCAAAATGTCTTTCTCGTGCACACGTGCGATACTTTCGTGCGCACGAGATACGTACGTTTCTTTTTTTCTTTTTTTTCCATGTCCCTTTAGGGGCTCCGTAGAATTCTCTTTGAATTCAGGAAATGATTAATGACCAGAACCCTGCTTTTAACTGTCAAAAGATTTTTACTTCAAGTTGATGGAGTATAAAGTTAAATGTAAATAACAATAAAAATACAAAATAACAGTAAAAAAACAAAAAACCTTCAGTAGTTTGGGTTCAGGACATTAATTCACTGCTGTGACTGTGTTTCAGTACTCGCTATAACATTCTTGACCTAATCTTACAGTCTGTCTGTCTGTCTGTCTCAGATGGTAAAGTTCATGGTTGACCTACTGAAATAAAGTACCATGAGACTCTGGACTACAGTAGCTGCTTGTAGTTACAGCTGTAGAGACTTCAGTCTTGGGTCTGATGTAACCACCTTCTGTTTGACTTCATCTGTTTTCTTCCTGTCAGGTCTTGGAGAGGGTGGCGTGTCAAGGTGAGTTCATCAAGTTCTGTTCAAACACTTTTTATGAGCTATGGGTCATTTACACTTCCACTGTCTCTCCTTCCTGTGTTTCAGTGAACTGCAGCAAGCTGCAATCACCTGACCACACGCCACAAAAGTCTTCCTCACCCCCACAGTTTAGACTGAGCATGTTGCATATCCTGTGTATGCTGTATGTAACAGCATATCTGTTAGGAATTTGTTAGAAGTTAGAAATATTTGAACAGTGACACAATCTTCATGATTTGGGCTCTACATTCCACCACTTTGGATTTGAAATGAAACAAGTACAACGGGACCGAAGTGCAGACTGCAAGGCTCAAAAGTAATTGGACCAACGGTAACCATTGAAAACCCGGGGTTTACCTGTGAAAAGGAGAAAAAAGAGAGTTACCCACTGGAGTCCGGAGTAATTGTAGTCCGGTAATTGAGTAATTAAAGTAACGAGTTTGCAGGGAAAGTAACTATTGATTTTTATTGCTTACTGCTTATTTATATTTTTTAAGACAGAGGTTTTATTTATTTATTGCACCTCGCTTTGGTGTAAATTAAATTAATCAAACTCAAACTTAGGTATGTTCTTAAAAAGAAAAGTAAACAGTTTAACAGAAGTGCTTTTAAAATTGTATAAAATGTATGAAAATGTATATAAATTTGTTGAACAAATCCATCTTTAATTCCTAATTTTATTCATCTATCCATCCATACACTCCTTCAGTGGATTTGTCATTACTGCATTATGGTAGCATTTGTTTGTTTATGATGTTTGTTTATTCAGGAAAAAATAATCTTTCAGCATTGTTATTAATAACTGTCATTATTAAATGTGACACCAATTAAAACTCATATGGAAAATTATATTTGAATTTTTTTGTTTGTTCAAAGGGAAAAACAAAGGCTCCAAGTTCAAAGAATTGGAATTTTCTGTCAATTATTTAATGGTTTGGGCTTGACAGGGTTAATTTTGACCTTTAAACGCCCAATTGAGGAGAGTTTTTGACAAAAAAAAACTGTCACACAGCGAGAACACACCCTCAAACTTTATGGAATGACAGTGGTTAACTCCTGCTGCCATATGACTGCGGCCTAGCTACCCAAGGAAACAGCCTGAATTATGACTCAAAACAAACATGTCTGCTGCCCAGACTCTCCCACCTACCAGGAAAGCCTCGGAATCCAAAAAGGAAATGGTTCAAGACTCAGTTCTCTGCAGCTTTTCCACTTCACAGGTGTGTGTAATTTTGCACGTGTGAACCTGAACACCAGTGGATCAGAGACGAACTGGTCTCAGGACAGTTCTTCCTGGTTGAGGAACTGAAAAGTTCAGGTTGCTGAAGTCAACCTGCAGTAGTTGACTAGTTTAACCAACTAATTCTCTGGGTGACGTCACCCTCCATTACATAATGTCCGACAGGGTACTCTGAGCCGAAGATTCAGTTTGATGATGAAATACATTTTCTTTCCATGTTTTAAATACAATAGATTTTCATATGATATTTAAAGTGAAAGACGGCAGAGATGAAGATGAGGCGACCTCCAGATGAACAGACATGAGCAGAACAGTGAGGTTCAGCCCACATTTTAAAAATACCCAGTTTCCCCATTGAAGCTGAGCTTCAGCAGGGTTTAATACACCACCACAAAGTGGACCCAACTGTACGGGTCAAGCCTGCGAAACTGCTGATTTAGCACCACTTCTGTATGCAATGCCACCTGTGTACCACTAGAGGAAAACCAAGCCTCACCCATGGTACGAGTACCACCCCTTGAGAACCACTGCACAGTCCAAACTATGAATCAGTTTGTAAAAAAATATTTTACATTGACAACATAACTTTATTTGAAATCCGTCATTTACAATAAAATGAGACAACATCAAGTACAAGTTAAGAAAACTCAAGAATTCAGTGGCTGGCTCACGGCCCAAGATCAAGATCGAGGTCTTCACTCGGCCTTCAGGGCGTAGAGAACGTCGTCCTGGCTAACATTGAGGCGCACCCGCAGCAGGACTCCCAGACGGCTGGACTCCAGCAGCAGCAGTCTGCAGGCTCCCAGACGCTGACACACAGCCAGACCCTCCGACACACTGATGGGCTGCAGACCCTCCACCCGACACAGAGCCTGGTGCTGCACAAACACCTGAGGCCGTTGGGGAAAAAAAAGTTTGCTCTTTTCCCATGGCTCTGTACATTTTTAGGACTGTATTTCTTTGCCTACTTTTTGAGGACGATTAACTACCTGTTGGAAGGTGGCCTCCTCCAGCCCCCGCCTACGGAACTCTGCGATGACGGCCCTGAGGAACAGCTGCTCCTGAACCGAGGCATACCTGGAGACAAACATCACCTTTGTTTCTTTCTATCTTTATTGCTGTATTTCATCCCTGATATAGACTTTTCCTACTTGATAGCTGTGACGTAGGTGGAGGAAAACATCTCATTGAGTGCCTCCATCACATGACCCATCCCCACCAGGCGGGCTGTAGACGGTGCAGCTGCAGAGTGTTCACAGATCTCTGTGGCTCTACGGCAGATGTCCAGACAGCGGCGAGCGTCGCCTGATAGAGCAGCCACCTGCCAGGAGAGGAAGGAAGGGGGTTTGGGGTGGGGGGTACATTTATTACACAACATGATCTTGTTCTGTAGACCAAAAATAAATAAAAATAAATTCAAACTACTAAACTCCTGGGCTTTCTTGTACCTTTCGTGACACCAGTTGCAGAGCGTCCTCCTCGAAGGCCTTCACTTTGTTCAACCTGGACATGATGATCTGCTGGAGCTGTTTGAAGGTGTACGGTTGGAACGACATCCTGGTCAAACCCTGGAACGGGACATAAACCAGATCAGAGAATGGATTCACGTCCCAGTTGGGAATATTTAATATTGGAAAAAAATATATAAAACATGGACGTTTCACTTGAACGTGTCCGTGCTTTTGACAGAGAAATGAAAAGATGAAGTTTCCCCTCACCAGTCGACTGGCCACCCTGTTGATCATGATCCTCTCCGGCAGGTCCATGGTGTTGGCGATGGTGAGCACCACCAGGCGAGCGTGTCGCCGCGTGGGCCAGTCAAACAAGTTGTACATCACATTCTGCTTTCGTGTCCACAGCAGGTCCAACTGTTAGTAACAACAACAGGAAAATATTAAAGATTAAAGAAGAGTTGCGTCTGCAGTGACGATGACTGACTGAGGTCTGTCTGAACTCTTCTTCTCCAAACGTCATCTGTTTCTTTGTCTTTTTCAAATAACTTTCTTCAGAATAGGACAGTTTGTCAAACGGACCGTGCTGAAACTTTTACATCAATACAACCTTCACTTCCACTTGTTTTAGGGGTTATTTTCTTTGTTCACAATACAATTATATCACGATTTTGTGACATAATGATCTCCAGTCAAACTGTGACCAAATCCACTGATTCTTTTCTCTGTCAGAACTGTGTGAAATCCCATCATCAACTGAAATTATTCTCTTCAATAACAGAAAAGAGAAAAGAGGGAAAAAAAGTCACATTGTTTTCCAAAAATACTGTCCATCACCATTGGTCTGCTCTGATTACGTCAAACTGGTCTGATTGACTGTCAATATATGAACCAACAAAAGAAGAGAAGAAATAAGAACTGGAAAGAGTTTCTTTACAGGAACACTGGAAAACAATGTTGGTGTCTGTGGAACAAGTTCTTCCCACATTCTTGTTCAACATCTGAATGTCTCTTACACACGAGTGTCTATGCCAGGTCCCTTCCTAGGCACCTGACGTCTGGGTTTAAGAGAAGATCACAACCAATCCCAACCCAATCAGAGATCTGGAGATAACTGCTAAGTTGACATGATGCTCCGCTCCAGCCTCCACTAGTGACTGTAAAGCCTTCAGTTTATGCTCCTGGTGGAGGAGGTGGTGATAATGTTCCTGCTAAGGAGCTCCAAACACAGCCCAGTTGGGCCAACATCCCAACACTGAAGGTTTTAGAGAACACGCCGTCTCACACTGATGTAACAGAGTGGACAAACTAAGTCTGTTGTTGTCAGGTCTGGTCTTACTTCGTCCACCAGCAGCACCGTGCTCTCCTTCCTGGGCGCGGGGTTACTGAACCTCTTCTCCAGTAGAGCTGCAGCATGGTCGGCTGTGGCTTTCTGACCAGTCAGTTTCTACAGGGAAAAAAAAATTCATCAGTGTCGATGTTGAGAAAATGTAATCAAATTTAAAGATTATTAAACATCAGAGCTATGGAACACCTCACTCACCTGCAGGATCTGTACGTAGGCCTGATGAGGATCCGTCATCTTCATCCCATTGATCTCAATGAAGGTGAACGACGGAATCTCATCTACCTCGGCCGCGTGCTGTAGACAGCGCATGACCTCGTGCACCGTGGCCGTTTTTCCTGTTCCTGGAACGCCTGAGATGTACATACACCTGAAGACAGTCACAGAGGGCAACACTGAGAACAGCCACTGTCAGCAGGTCAGAGTGAACACAAACATCTGGATCAGGGTCTTAACGAAAGCTGTTCAGGTTTTAACTTGGCACTGCTGTAGTGAAACAGAGGAACCTTTTTAACCAACTCATCTGAGCAGATCATTATTGATGTCTGGTTAAAATAAATAAATAAATATGAACACAGTAAATAGTACTTGTATCGCAGGATGACCTCATTTTGGTCTGATGGTGTTTTATTTAAATATTGCAATATTTAATTTCCAGTGTATTGATTTTTTTTATCACCAATTCTCAGTCAAATATTCCTGGTGTTGGTTCATTGATTCCAAATGTAGATCCCTCTGTTCCAATGTTAGTAACCTGATGTTCAGATGGAACAGCAGCAGAGTCTTTACTATGATGACACTTTGACTACAGTTACATTGGTGGAAAAAAACATTCAATATATTGTTGTAACTATAATATTGCAATATATGGTGACGTGATACTCATCGTATTCTTGACAGATTCTTGCCAGTACACACCCCTATTTATGTGGACCCTGGACATTACAGTAACTGCCCCACTGCAGACCCTCGACTCACCCTCCAGTTCCGTCGATGACCTTGCTCTCCACAAAGCTGTAAATGTCCTGGAACTCCTGCTCTCTGCAGGGGAGTGACTCCGGCACAGAGGAAACGTGGAGTCTAATAGGAGATGTGGTGAGAGGAAGTTACAGCACCATAGTATCACTGGTATCTGATGATGAACAGCAGACCGCAGCATTCTCCTCACCTGGTTCTGGCCTCCTCCAGAGCATTGGAGGGCTGGCGGGCAGGAAGCGACCTGCTGGGAATACTGGGAGTGGCATGCCGGGGGGTCCTTGGTGTGCTGGGTGTGATCTGGGAAAGAAAAGGACTACAGTGGAGGTGAAACTGTAAAACAGAAATCCACTTGCTTTTATTTCAGCAAACTTTTAACCGTAAATGCTGCCTTGAAAATCGTGTAATTTAACTAAACATTTTTTAAAAACCTCAACCTTACCCTTTTGTTGGGTGTTTTCCGGGGGGTTCTGGCAGAGCTGCCACTTTTCTGTTTGGAGCGAGGAGTACGTAATCCTGCAGCATTTCTCCTCTTCTTGGACACAACGTCTTCGTCACTATCCAGCTCTTCATCTTCCTCTTCCTCGTCCTCACTGCTGCTCCGGAGCTCCTTCTTTGAAGGAACAAACTCGTCCTCGTCCTCACCATCTGAGTTCAGGTAAAGCTGGCAGTCTAGAAGATTCCTGCACAAAAATGACAAACACACTGTCAGATGATGTTTGGTGAACGGTGGTTCCCAACCTCTGTGTCGTGGTACACTAGTGTGCCGTGAGAGATCATTAGGTGTGTCATGGAAATGTATCCAAAGTCACTTAATTGGCCCCAAAACTATTATTATTTACTGCAAATATTTTTCCTTTGTTCGTCAATGCATGACAGGCAGAGCAATTAAATCCTCTTCTGCTAGGTGGCAGCAGACGGCTATTGAAACAAAAAATAACCAGAGCTGTTGAAGAAGGTCATTTAACTAACTTCAACTAGAAGATTGTTTTTAATTACATATACTTTTTGTGAGATTTTTGTTTTGTGGTGTCCCGTGGGATTTTTCCTGATGATATACAGTATATGTGCTGCGGCTCAAAAAAGGTTGGGAAACACTGGAATATTGGGATGATTATTATTTTTATAATGGGTGGAGTTGTCCAGACCTTCACTTCAGGAAGTTTTTCCTCAGTGAATGACCCTGTTCAATATGGCTGTGTACGGGCAAGAATCTGTCGATACGATACGTATCACAATACAATATATTGCGATACTATAGGCACAACTAAGTATTCACTTTCTTTCCTCAGTGTAACTGCAGTCAAGTGTCATCATAGTAAAGACTCTGCTGCTGTTCCATCTGAATATCAGGTTACTAACATTGGAACAGAGGGATCTACATTTGGAATCACTGGAGGAGAAAGAAAAGAAAAAGAAAATGAACCAACACCAGGAATATTTGACTGGGAATTGGTGATAAAAAAAATCAATACACTGATGGAGGAGATTGATACGGTATCAGGAAAGGAATTAAATCAGTTTACTGATAGTTTCTTAGAGCCCTACTGATTACAATCAAGTCCAACACCTTACTTTCTCATTGTTTTCTCAGAATAACACTCACAGTTGCTTCCTGATACGTAAAGACACCAACTGAGCTGATTTTCTTTTGGAACTTCTTGGTGTGGCAGCAACAGGCAGCATTGGGGAGTTTTCATTGTCCACCTCAGCTCTGGGGTTGGTCACCATGTAAACAAACAAAAAATTAAATATTAGACAGGAGTAGAAGACACCCAGTAAAGTCTTACTAAAGTGAGAAGGACAGTCTCGGACAGACACTCACAGAACAGCCAGAGCCGGTTCCCTCGACGTTCTCCCTTCTTTCTTCTGTGATGGTGTGGCAGCTCTGAGGACGGACGGACAGATAGACAGACAGTTTGTGACAGAGTTCGAAGGCAAAAATCCGTTGGTGCTATTTTGACTCACTTCTGCCCTCTGGTGGTAGAATTTCTCCTGGGCGTGGAGTTTCTTCTTTTGGGTGTTAAAACTGAACTGTTTGGTACATCTGCCTCCACAACGTCAGCCTGCTGGGGGCTGAGAGCAGACAATCAAACCAGTTTAACCTTATGGTAAACCAGTTCATCTCCAGATCACACTCTGCTCAAACATTTAACCAAAACATTTCAACTCAAAACAACAAAAAGTTTATAATCACTATTAACGGAACAGTGTTTTGCGTTTAATCAAAATTAAGTCAATTGTTTTGTGGAAAATTCAGTAATGAAAGTTGTGCTTTGAAACTTTTTTTCTCTGAATCTGTCATTATCTTCCTTTGTCAACTTCTTCCCAACTTTAGTTCTATGAACTCGGATAGGAAAAGGTTTAAAATAAAAAATATTCACAGTTCAGATCAAGTGAGAGCTGCAGCAGTCTTAGCCTCGACCCCAGGAATCAGACGCCACTGACTGCCTTTCTTTACGCACTGACTACACAACTGTAATGTTTTCTCCATTCTTGTGAATGCGGGGTTGGATCAAACTCTGACCTGTCGGGGTCCTCTCTGCTTGGTGACAGGGGACTGTGCACGCCTGAGAGCTGTCTGAGGACCACAGAGGATGGCTTGATGGGGACAATGTCTTCATCATCTACGACTCTGTGACTCTTCCTCAGAGGGGTGAGGCGGTGAGAAAGAGGACTGGCCAGGGCCCTGTGGCCTGATCTAAGTGGGGTAAGGCAGTGGGGCAGTGGCTCCATCCGTGGAGGAGATGACGAGAGCCTCTGAGCCAACATCATTTCTGAATCCAGCTTCTCATCCAGCTGCTGGCCCTGGATGTCCCCCTGGGTCGTCTTCTCTGGACCTGGTGGTAAAACCAGATAAGAGCAAAACCTGAGAAATGAGCTTAAAACTCTTCAAAGAGCTAATGCTGGCTACAACAGTCATGGTTCAGACATTTTTGTCCAAAATTAACTTGATTTTGAAAAAAACAAAAATGCTTACTGTTAAGTTCCAGTTTCTTGCGGACTCCAGGCGTTCTTGCTGAAGCACTCCTCCTTTTGGCACTCAGACATTTGGAGGCGGACAGTTTGGTGGCCGAGTGCAGGGACTCGGCCTCCAAGCTGCCCACCTTCCCTGCACTCATGCAGACTCTGCTGCGTCTCACTTCTCCTGAACAAGCACGGGCCATGATAAGGGGATCTGGCGTTGGCAGCGCGCGTCGAGACGAGGGGTGAGGCAGTGGAGCTGCTGCGGTTGGGGAGCAGGGAGGTGAAGGGGGCAGGGAGAGTTTAGGACAGGGAAGAGGAGGAGTAGACAACACAGGACCCACTAATGAGGAGTCCACAACCTTGAAGGTTTTGGAGTCCCAGGACAGCTTCACAAACAGAGTGTCTTCATCTTTGATGACAGGAAATTTAGCTTCAGCTTCCACATGAACCACCTTTAAAGAATTTAAAGAATAAGTTCATACAAAAAGACAGAAGAAGGAGTAAGTTTTTAAATGTTATAGTTGACAAAAGGTGTGGTCTGTTAACAAGAAACTGAAATGTTCTGTCATACATTAGTGGCATAGACTAAGTGTCTGAAAAGTGAACACACACACACTCTAGTGGTCAGCACCTGCACTGGTCTGAGGATGGACTCGGCGTTGACCTCGTCATCACAGCTGCGGCCCTGATAGAAGAAGATCTCCTGTGGGTGGGGTTCTCTGCCCAGCTGCTTCAGTTTGTTTAGAGGAACTTCAGACACACGAACAAACCACTGAACACACACCTTCTTCCGCTTCCCGCTCTCTGAAACGCCACACACACACACACACATTTGTGTTTAATCATTTGTATCAGTTTGGAGAAAATGTTAACATCAGGGACAAAGACAGACAGAGACAGTCAGATCAGTTGTGTCATAACAAGAACTATTTGATAAAAGAACTGAAGACCAGAATCAGCTGTGAATACACTGTCTCTTCTCAACCTCCCCAGTTTTACACCTCACCAAGTCACTTTGTTATTCAGACTTACTTAACCAACACTGTCTTCATTTGTTTATTCAAACGTGGAAACAGTTTTAAACAGTTTAATTCACACTGTGTTCAATGGAAAGAAGGAGATAGTGTTTTCAGCTAGCTGAGTAAGTTAGCTAATTGATGATTTTTAAAAGTGTTGTGTCCTGTTGGCTCAAACATTTACCCAGACTCACCATCAGCAAACAGTCTGATGACCTTGGCCACATACGGGTGGTCTTCATCGTCTCCTTCGATGAGGATGTGTTGACCTACGTTAATGATCGTAGTCTTCGGGAGACCGTCCACGTTGATGGCCAAAGATCTGCAATGGACACGAAGCAAAAAACAAACATAAATAAATAAACATCAGCAATACAGCTGACAATACTGGTTGTAAATGGACGACTGTATAGATATAACTATTCCTATTGATAAATGTTTCTGCAATTGATTATTATTTATTCAAGTTACAAATATTGTACATTTGCTTTGTCTATCATTTTAAAGTTAATCACATGAAAAAAAACTCAGAAGCATGGACTTCATTATGAGCTCCCACAGGCTACAATGACTTGGCTGGTTGCATTTGGCCCGTGGGCCTCGAGTTTGACACAAATGGTATATAAGAAACGGACACGGTTGTCGAGTTATATTTAAATTCCTGAATTAAATGCTATCAAGGGAAACAAATACAGAAAAAGGACATTAAGACATCAGATTACAAACATTTAAAAAGTCACATCATTGATAAGAGCAATACTTATATATATATATATATATATATAATTGGTCCATTGTAGTGCATGGCAAAAAGGAAGTCTGGCTAATGGGAATAATCAGGACGTCCACGTACTGACTCTAGGTAATAATAATAATAATAATAATAATTTGATTATTATTTGATGTAAAGTGTCCTTGAGTGTCCTGAAAGGCGCTTTTTAAATAAAATTTATTATTATTATTATTATTATTATTATACTTAAAGTGTCATTTTTAAAAAGAACGTTTTAAAAAAAAGTGCAGGGATCCTTTCACACTGTTGAGTTTTTAAACAACAGGAAAGTAAAAAGAGAAATTATCATAGAAGGTAAGGGAGACCTGTACACAATATCAACAGGGATATTGATCAATTTACCAGAACCTGTTTCCCAGAATGTGTAAAAGAAGATTAATCATGATTATAAAATTAACATATGAGATGTGACCTTTGTAATTTATAGCTGTTTTATGAATTTCAAATAGAAAGTTAATGTCAAGTCATATACACATAGGTGGACGTTTGTTGGAATGTATATCATTCGTAGTTGAAATGCATCTCGAGTAAACATCTTCTGAAATATTTATGTTGTTATAAATATAAAGACCATTCCATTTAAAGGTAGATGTGGTTACACACTTTGTCACTACATGGTTCATACTTTGGTTGCCAACGTAACGTCGCTGAAAACCGTTTGGGGAGTGGTCTGTCAAACACAGCTGCTTTTACCCACGTAAGAAATAAGTGAAATTCAACAAAGTCACTATCAAAGACTGGGTCACATTTCAAAGATGCTTCTGTTACAACCCTTATGGAGCTAATATCGCTATCTCGTTCATTTACTTGTATTTGGCCGGATACAGAGCACTCTTTTCTTGGTTCTTACCCGTATTCGTAGGTTTTTAACTTCCTGTTGAAAGTTGGTTCTCCAAGCCACTTGTAGACTCTTCTGACTCTAAGTCTTGAGAAATACTTCATATTTTTTCCTTTCCTCAGGTCGGAAAATTAAAAAATAAATTAAAATTAAAATTAAAAACAACTATCACTCAGGCCCCGTTTTGTATGTAAACGTGTTCAGTTCTGTGTAACAAGTCTGCCGGTTCACAAAAAAACCCCAGAGTTTTCGCGCGAAAACTCAGCAACTTCCTTAAGTTGTCGACTCAATATACGACACTGCCCCCCTGTGCATGGAGGTGGCATCAGAACCTCGGGAAACAGTTTATTTTAGCATTTATCCGTAATGGTGTTTCGCCATTGAATAACAAAATTGTCTACAATGGTCACCATGTAGCTTTAATTGTTGGAATCACCACATAGTGAAATGCCTCTTTATATAAGTTATGAATCAAAAGTGATAAGTGGTAAACATGTTATTTCAAACACTTGGTAATATAAAATGAAGATAACAACATATAACGTTATCACAACTTTTGTAACGACCGTTTTAATCCAAGTTCAAATACGTTGTGAACGGTTGTGTCACTCCAAGTGTCATCAGTAAAATCCTTGTATTCAGTCAATTAAAATTGTATAAATAAATATATTTTATATCATATATTAAAGTATTTAGAATGGTAACTATGTTAATAATATTCATTATTAAATAATAACATTTTGACTTTGCGTTAAGATTTAAACAGACGGATTATCTTGCTTTTGCTTTGAAAGATTTGAACCGGACGCGTTATTTTATTTCCGCTGCCGAGCAGAGTCGGAGATTGCTATTTTCTCAATGCTAGAATTCTAAACCATTTATTACCTTTTCGATGGCAAACAGAACAGTTAAAGATGCCAATAGTATACACGGGACCAACCCACAGTACTTGGTGGAGAAAATCATTCGAACCCGAATCTACGAGTCTAAATACTGGAAGGAAGAGTGTTTCGGTTTAACAGGTAAGTACCTATTTAGCATGTTGTTAGCATTTCAGCCTGAGATCTACTCAAACCTCTTGTCGGTTGACTTAAATAAAAGTAGAAAATTAGTTAAATTCGCAAAGTTTTTTCTGAAAATAACGCAGTGAAGAGGGGAACTAATTGTAACATGTTTCTAACATTGTGTTAGCGGTGACTATCAATGTGGTTTTAAATAATCATAAGTTGGGTTTTAAACTTTTGGTCATAGTATATTATGAAACTATTTTAAATATTTGGATACATTCAAGTGAAAAATCGTATTTGAGTTGTTAAGGTCTGTCTTAATCTGAACACAGTGGACCTGAAGACTGTTCAATTAATGGTGTTTGTGTGAATTGTAGCCTAAACGTTGACGATATATGGTCTTAATTTAGAGAGAACCCCCCCCCCCCCCCCCCCCCCCCCCCCCCACCCCCCCCACCCGGACTTGATGACGGCACCTAAAGCTCTGCAGTGGTCCTGATATGTTTCTTTTTTTTTTCTTACAGCCGAGCTGGTGGTGGATAAGGCCATGGAGCTGAAGTACGTGGGAGGAGTTTTTGGCGGAAACATTAAGCCCACACCGTTCCTCTGCCTCACACTAAAAATGCTGCAGATTCAGCCAGAGAAGGACATCATTGTTGAATTTATTAAAAATGAGGATTTTAAGTGAGTCTCCAGAGATGGTAGATCTTTTTTCTGCGTCCATCTTTTATTGTCACACAGAATTTGTGATAAGGACTTCATCTGATTTTGTTGGTCACTGTAGTGAGAACTAGTCAACCCTGGTGTACAACATTTACCGCTACATCCTAGTATGGTCTCTCTGATCCGTATTCACTCTCCCTGTAGATATGTTCGCATGCTTGGAGCCATGTACATGAGATTAACTGGCACTGCAGTGGATTGTTACAAATACCTCGAGCCTTTATACAACGACTACAGAAAGATCAAGAGTCAAAACAGAAATGGAGGTACATTTTAAACTTCATAAAGTCATTTTTGTGCTTATTCACACTTTTGCTGAGTTCTTAAAGCAAACTTTTGTCTCAGAGTTTGAGTTGATGCACGTGGACGAGTTCATCGACGGGCTTCTGCACGAGGAGAGGATGTGTGACGTCATTCTGCCGCGGCTCCAGGTGAGTTAGTATATTATCATACAGTCGGGGTTTTGTACACCTGTGTTACTGACCGGTGTCTGTGGGTGTGTGTGTTTTTTGTTTTTTTTTTACAGAAGAGGCAAGTTCTGGAGGAGGCGGAGATGTTAGACCCACGTGTCAGTGCTCTTGAGGAAGACCTTGATGAAGTGGAAAGTAGTGAGGATGAGGATGAAGAGGAAGAGAAGGTGAGAAATTGAAATTGATTCACTGATCCTGTTGGTCCTGTAACACAGGAGGATAAACAGAAGCCATTTCAAGCCTGTTGATTTATTTCACCATTACTGTGTTTGATCATAAACTACAAATTCTGTTTGAGAATGAAAAAAGTCAAATAATGAGAAAATATTTGATTAAAACTTAAAATTCAGTCAGAAATAAAAAATCCTCCACTTGTCAGGTGATTCACATTCGAACATTTTTTTCTTTTGTCCCCGCAGCCAGAGAGACTTCCGTCTCCAGAACCTCATAGACGTAGTTACCGTGACAATGACAGACCTCGGCGCTCTCCGTCTCCTCGCTACAGACGGAGTCGCTCACCCAGACGGTTTGTCTGATCTCTGCTTTGTTTAAGACATTCGTCGTTGAACGTCGTATTTTTATACAGGTTCATTAACGATAAATCTTTTTCATCCTGTTGATTTGACTTTGTTTTTCTTTTTCTACAGGAGGAGCAGATCTCCAAAGAGGAGGAGGTACAATGATTTCTTTTAATACAGGCACAAAAGGATATGTTTTTTTTCTCTTCATGTTTATCAGTGTCTTCTGTCATGTGTCAGTCCGTCACCCCGAAGAGAGCGCCACCGCAGTAAGAGCCCCCGCAGACACCGCAGCCGGTCCAGAGACAGACGTCACCGCTCCAAATCCCCAGGTAAGAGAAACATTTGAAACTGATGGATTTACATTATGAAAAAAAAAAATGAATGAATGAAGTGGTCTCAGTGCAGGTCCTGAACTGACATTTGGTTTCTTTCTACTGTCCTTGGTCATCAACCAGGTCACCACAGGAGCCACCGACACCGGAGCCACTCCAAGTCTCCAGAGAGGTGAGCTCTGCTCTGACATCAGGATGTCCCACAGCTCCATGATAAAATGTTCACAAAAAGTAAAACAAATCAGGAGCCACATGACAACTGTCCATGACATGAAAAACAGATATGTTGATAACATTGTTTGACAAGTGTTGAAAGTTGATTTTTTTTTTTTATCATTACAGTGAGAGCCTCATGTTTTAATTTTGTTTTTTAACTGTTTTTACAGGAGTTCAAAAAAAAGTCACAAGAAAAGTCGAAGGAACGAGTGAGCAGACCTCTTTTTTCGGCCACATCCAAATTGTCTCTGTCTTTTATAATATGTACATTCTGTACTCTTGTACGTGTTGTTTTTAATGATCACAGATCAGGCGATCAGGCAACTGCAGCCGGATCTGTTGATCCATCCCTTTATTCTATGATTAAATATCATGCAGAAAAACGTCTTTTGTTTTGTTTTTAAACATGATGGTCATTCTTCATAGCCTCTATTATTTCCTCCTCAGATGTGTTTTTTCTCAGACACTCTGACAGTTTTCTTTTCATTTCAGGACATTTCTCTCTATAGTAGTTCTTTTGCACCTCTCTGATGCTGTTTAGTCTAAAGAATGACCTATGTTGGATCTCTACCACCTTCATGTGGTAGTTCATGGAAGCATTGCTGTCGTTCCTATTGAAGTACAGGTGCTTTGCATAAACATTGTAAAGGAGCTGCTTCTCTGCAGGTTCTAGATCTTTATCAAGTAGCTCCTGGAAAATGGCGTCTGCTTTTTTTGCGTCATATGTTGTTTTTGCGTACATACTTGCTAGGTGTAGATTTATTAAAAATGATGACTCTGGGTATTCTTCTACCACCTGCTGGTGAAGACTTATAGCTCGTTTTATCATATCATGTGTTGCTGGACTGCCCTTTCCATTGATAACTTTCCATTTGTAGCAGATAGCAGCACATCGTTTTAGGTACCGTTGGTCCGGATGTTTCTCCAGAGCCTTTTCGGCCACTGTGATCGCCCGGTCAACTAAGTCAAAGTATTTATAACATTTAAGAATCTGTCTAAAGCTTTTGTAACTGCTCACAGGTTTCATCAAAACCTTATTGGCCAAAGAATCTATTTCGTTTTCGTCAACTTTTTCTCCACTAAAGCCACGTTTTACGAGGCACATAGCAGCTAGGTACAGGTTCTCTGGATCTCTGTCTTTGGCTTCTTCTAATTTCATCACAAAGTCTACCAGATTGCTTTGTTTTTCCTGACATAACACGTAGGCAGTCTGCCACTCCACCATGTCCGGCTGCATCTCCACTGCTCTCTGGAGATAATCTGAAGCTGTGACTTTTGTGTCATACATTAGAACCCAGCCTTTCTCAGCACAGATCTCTGGGTGAAGCTCAGCCTCACTCCCAGATGGGTACTCTTTCATAAGTGCTTCAACCTCAGACAGATAGAACTGACTCTGTGCTTCTTCTTTTTGATGGTAGTGGCACCAAGCCAGATTAGCATAGCTAACCATCAGCCACGGCCCCCTGTCTGACCTTCTCAGTCGGCTGAAGGCTTCAGCAGCTCTGCTGAAAAAAATCCTGGCTTCATCAGTGGAGCTCACGTGGAAATGAATGAACCCCAGCATGTTGTAAATGGGACCCAACCACCCGTCCTCATCGGTGCTAATATCCTCAAGATTTTCCTTCAAACGCTTTAAATAGTAACTGCTGCCATTCAGGTTCCAAGTGAAGTGGCATTCCAACTTCTCCAGTTTGTCCTTCAACGTTGATTCCCTCAGTGTAGAACTGATGGAGAATCAGGATAAAACAAAGAATTACAACTTCAATTGTAAAACAGAAAGAATGAATGACTTCTGTCATGTGCTGGACCAAGACATGTGTCTCAAACAGCTGTTTGATAATTAACAGAGATGTGTTAACAGATAAACAGCTTAAAAAAAACAAGGGTTTCTATACATTTGTAGAAGGCAAAAAACCTAAAAACTAAAACTTCACTCCAACATCAATATAAGAGAAAATCCAAGAATCCAATCAGGTTTGAACTGAGATTAAAGCTAATGCTTAGATTATAACTAAAACAAAAAGTTTTGCTGACAAGTACTAGAGATTTTTTAAAATGACTAAAAAGAAGTACGTTTTTTAAAAATGGACTCACCTCATCGCTGCCTCTGGAAGTGATTCTCTGGTGTTGGATTAAAAAGAGCGATCACAGCAGTTTGGTGGTAAAACACAATCTGCTTTCAGACCTGTCTGATCTGACTGAGGAGAGGTAAAGCTTTAAAGGACAGGGAGGTTGAACCTCCCACAGCAATAATAATGAATCATCATCATTAAAGAATAAACAGTTTCGCCATGACGTTGGTGAACAGATAAGCTGTTTGCATTCATGATTTTCTTTACCACCCCCCAACTGAAACCCAGCCCGTTTTACTGTCAAACGATCATGTACTTTTCTAAGGATGGAAGAAATGATCGATACACTGAAATATTGCGATAGTTTTGATTTTATATCGATTTTTTTCAACAACTAACATGCAAATATTTGTGGCACTGGTTCATTTTTGTGTTGCATTTGCATACAGTGGGGCTTCAAGATACCAGTCTATTCCGTTCTACAACAGCACTCGTATTGATTGTTGATAGAATTTTCCCCATTAAAAGTAACTAAAAACCAATTCATTCGTTCCAGCCCCCCAGAAATATACTACTAGTTAAATAAATTAACCCCCGTCTTAACATCAAAAACACAGACATGAACAAATAAATTGATAATATAAAATAATAATAATTAAGAAAACATTTTATGTTATTGTTATAGAAATGGGTCAAATAACCCAATGAGGGACAGTGAGGAAGACAGCGCCACAGTGTGTCAAGTGGACAAATGGAGCTGGGTTGAGCACTGGTAAGTTTTCTCGTATCATGAGGAAAATCTTGCAAAAAATGCTGATTTTTAACTTAGAAAACTTGTATTTCTGGGAGCTGGTATTTTCATTTTATAAAACATCACAATTATTTTTGCTTAACATTTTAGTTATTGTCATGTCCACTAACATAACTATTCATCTAAACCGAAACCTAGGCCTCCACACTGTATGACTGCTCAGTCTGGCTACTGTCCATGAAGGCCAGTGTTGTTTTATAGTGTTTATTATTAGTGTTAAGAATAGAAACGTAATCGTTGGGTTTTGGTCTCAAAGGTGTGGTTATGACCTACACTCATGACACATTGAGTTGATGTCACTGAGGGAGTTCAGATAGTCCAGTTGATATTAAACACTCTTATCACAACAGGACATTGCCCGTATTCATGCTGCGCCCCCTGTGGTTTAACTGTAGTCAAAGTGTCATCATAGTAAAGACTCTGCTGCTGTTCCATCTGAACATCAGGTTACTAACATTGGAACAGAGGGATCTACATTTGGAATCACTAGAGGAGAAAGAAAAACATTTGCAGAATTCGTTGGTAGTGTGAGTCAAAGTCTCAATATTTACAGTTCCTGTACAATCAACTAGAGGTCAGAGGTTTAAATGTGACACAAAAATTAAACACAAATATTGGACTATTAACTGTTATTAAAAAATAATCCATACAGAGCTGTAAAATATTCATACAGTATTGTGAAACAAAACATCACAATATTTCAGTGTATTGATATTTTCTTACACCCCTAATTAATAATACAGACACTCAGTGGGGTCCTTCAAAGAAGTTGCTCATATTACATTACATTTGTAACAATAAGCACATAAAGCAATATCATATAAATATTGACATTTTCCCTCGATTAATTATTCATTGTGATAAAACAGTCATCATGGTTTATACACAGCTACACTGTGATTAATCTGACTTTGAAAATTAGCAGACGACAGTCCATTTTATACAGTACCTGACCTGGGTTATCGGTTTCTTTACCATCGGAAAACCCCTCTCTGTTTCTGGTTAGTTTAGCCTACTGGATTCCTAACCAATCGTCACTAGCCTTACTTTTGATCGTATCCAATCTGAAACAGGAGTGGGCGTTGCACCGTGCGTAAGTAGGAAATGAAATCGTTTGTTGCTGTAGTTCGTAATGGCGGAGCTAAAAGAGGCAGAAGCTACTCAGCTACACCAGGAGGACGTTGACAGGAAAGGTAGATTAAATTGACAGAGGTTCTTAATATAATATTCAACAAAAGGCTGTTCTAAACAATATTAACCAATAATCAATCTCTAACAGTTTTACGCAGTGATGTTTAGGGAAATCTGAGTTTGTAACTGGTGAACTGAAGGAGGGCCTCACCGCGGAGCTCTGCCGTAGGACCTAAATAGTCAACAGTAATGGCGGATAAACGACAAGGGAGAAAAAAGAGCCGAGTGTTTACAATAAAGGACTTTATAAATGACCCAAAGATTATTTGCTGTGAGCTCTTTAATGAATTAAAAGCTGCGTTTTCAGACAGTTTGATACGACGCGGTCTGATCACGGAGCTGCTCTGTAGGACTGTGGGACTTACATCTCTGGACATTTTAACACTACCAGTTTATCTGTGGTCAAAGCAAAACGAAAATGAAAACATTATCGAGAAAAAAACATTTCCCTGTTAGACTATTTGGTTTTGATGCTATGTTTAATCTACCGTACATAATTTAAATTCAGTCAAGCAGAGAATATAAGTATCGGATCAGAACAGAGAATCGTTTGGACCTTGTCAAACGGTGCACATCCAAACGTAGTTCGGTTGCTTCATTCATGTGACTTAAGTGTTAAGTATGTTCTAAGTCTGAATATACACACAGCACATGTCATAGAAAAAATATTGTTCGACTTTTTATTTACTTTATAAATACAATTCTGTCAACATCTAGGGGGTGTACGGGCAAATCGCAGGGTGGTTTGGGTTTTTTTTTATCGAAGGAAACATTAGTTTAACTTACCTTGTTGCGTGACTTACACGTTAAGGTAACTTACAAATCGGAGCAATACAGTTGTCTTTTTTTTTTACAATATCAAACATTATTTGGGTATTCTGTGTTCGATAACTCTGGCGCGTCAAGTCCATAAATAAACTTTCCTACCTCAGTTCAACATGACGATGACGAGGATGGTAACCTCGGTCGTTGACAGCCGTCGTCTGCTGCTGTAACTCCACATTTTCTTCACTGCACATTATAACCAATATTTTGGTTCAAATACTTCCATAAACGCTGTCCTCACGGACACAGCCTGCATGTGACCTCTGACGAGTTGATTTCGCGAGTGCAGGTGTGCTAATCGTATGCGATTGGTACCTGAATGGCGACGCAAGCAATGGGCGCTGGAGTGTACGTTCAGTTTGTAGCTACGACTACGTCAGATAATCAAAGAGTCGAAGAAACAAGTGACCAGGTCTACAAAGAGACGACTGGGAAACACTACAGGGATGTTAGCACACATTCTAGAAAAGATTCACTCTGTCAACTGTGGGAACATTCCAGACTACAAGTAGATAACCAGTCATGTATAAAACTACTAATATACACAAAAACATCAACAACGGCATTTTGGAATCATATTTGGGCACCGTAAAATGACCATGTTCATTCATTTAGCCAGATTTGTCTCATGCCAGGTTCACATGGGAAAATATTCTTAGTAATTACACCATTGTCAATGTTTCTGTCTGTGAAGGTTGTGATGGTGGAAACGCATCATCAACTGGTGACCAAGTCACCAAACAGGAAACGGAGAACGACCTTGCTGCAGATAATGATGTCAAGCCCTCCACTACAACCATTGGTAACCTAGCTCTCTCTTTGTGACTAGCAGTGAGACTTAACTTAGAGATACGATACGATAAGTGTTTTGATGATCTTACAGAGAGACACATCTCTATTCAAACCACATTGGACGGTCTCGAGTCCCTGGTGGACCTAAACGGAGGTCAGTCTGCTTCTAACCTTGACTACTGCTGGAATGAAAATGTTTTAAACTTCATTTTTATTCATAAATTACACACCCAGTGAAAACTCAGCTGTCATCTCCTGCATCATCTCTCTTCAGCGGGACGTAAAGCATGTCCTCTGTGTCCAGAGGAGAAGTTTAAAGCCTGTTACAGTCACAAACTCCGACGACACCTGCAGAACCTCCACTGGAAAGTCTTTGTGGAGTTTGAAGGTGAGAAGATGCGGCGTACTCTGCACAACACATTGTCACACGCTAAAATCGATGCTAACACGTATTTGATGTTGGCAGGTCAGAAGATGTGCATCTGTCACCTGCCCTGCAGAAACCTGAAGCCCAGCCTGAGTGGAGACCAGGTGAAAACTTCAACTGTGACAGCTGTAGCTAAAAGAAGAATCTCCTCCACAACTTCATTTTTAACATTTAGTTCATTTAAATAAAGGCAGAGAAATGAACTCTGTCTGCCGTCAAATAATCCCAGTTAGAGTTTAGACTTTGTTTACCACGGAAACATTCAGGTGTCCTGTGTATTGTCCTCTAGATGGAAGGTTTATTTTATAAGGTCAATAACACTGGCCTCATCATACACGTCAATATTGAGATTTTAAGATTTCCCACTCCGCACAGAACTGCGACTATGTGACTCCCCTGCTCCCAGGGGGCAGTAAAGTGCAGCTGTATATTGTGGCTGAATTCCACATGTTTACTAAGTGTATATTTACCATCATTGATGAACCTTGACATTCATGGTAATCAAGTAACTAAAAGAAAAGAAAAATTATCTCAGGCTAGAACCCTGTGACACCTTTGTCTACACGATGGCTGACGACATGGATTATTTAAATAAGAAATTATCCGAGAGATAACTTTTTTCAAGAATATGGCGAATTCAATTCTGACCATCCACAACTTGACTTTTAAAGTCTAATTTTTGTTAGTGTTGAGTTCTGATTGTGTTCTTCTAGGCTTCAGGACGACATGTGGCTCATTACCACTGTGTGGTTTGTTCTGTCACCATCGCCCGAAAGACTGACATGGTCAGCCACCTCAAACGCCACATCAACAAAGGAGAGACGGAGGCCAGTTACTCTGGGAGCTCTGACACGACGTGTGAAGAACCAGGTAGAGAACGTCTTTGACTGTAATGACTGGAGAAGCATTTGATGGTCAAGAAGAGCCAAGGCACACGATGAATAACCCATCACTGGTCTGGACAGTGTGATAATCTGTGTGTGTGTGGCGTCATGTTCTGCAGCTCCTTCGGGTCAGGCCTTTGAAATCATGAAAGAACTTGGAACAAATGTCCAGCTCCTCCCCAACTACACCACCGTCCAGAAAAGTGACACTTATTTCAACCGTAAGATGAAGTCCAACAGGTGTGTGCTGCTGCCAAGTCCACATGTCTTTAATCAAATCATGAACTTTTGGAAAAAGTTTTTGTGTGTGTGTGTTTCAGGCAGCTGGTGTTCTGTTCACTGGCTGTTCTGGCTGAAGAGCGCAACCCAGTGGAGTGTCTGGATGCGTTTGGAGCCACAGGTGGGCAGTAGTGATGGAGCCATGTAGAACGTCAGGGTCCAAATGTTCAAATGAATGTCTGATTCACCTTTAATCTGACGGAACGTCTTAACTCCAGAGTTTTTTGTAGTCCTTCGTCCAAAAATTGCATTTGAAGTTATAACTTTGCTTTGGGGTAAAAACCCAAAGTGAAATTATCTCATTCCTCATTTGGACAAATGTTTTGTGTCCTGGTACCGATCTGCTCTGTCTGGAACTCTTCACAGGAATAACAGGCCTCCAGTGGGCGAAACACCTTCGCAGCAGCGTCAGAGTGACCATCACTGACATCAATGAGACTTGTGTCAAAATGATCAGAGAAAATTGCGAGTTGAACAACATCAGAGTGGATACAGGGTCACGGGGCCCCCGGGGGCCTGAGGGTGTAGGCAGTGATGCAGATGGGTCCCCCATTGCTGCAGTGGAGGTTGCCAAGATGGATGCTAACGTCATTATGCACCTTCGGCCTTTTGACTACATGTGAGTGTGGAGACTGATGCGTTATTCCACTTCACGAGGAGACAGTGTTTTTGGTATCATTGTCGTGGAGTCTTAAAGAACTAACAGAGACTTTTTCTTTCAGTCACCTGGATCCCTTTGGGACAGCCGTGAATTATCTAGACGCTGCCTTTAGAAATGTCCGCAACCTGGGCATCGTGTCGGTGACATCCACAGACACCAGCTCACTGTACTCCAAGTATCCCAACGTCACCCTGCGCCACTACGGCTGCAATATCGTACGCACCGAGTATTACAAAGAACTGGCTGCACGCATGGTTGTCACCTCAGTGGCCAGGTAGGTCGGCACATCTGCCAAGTAAAACACCATAGAATACAGAGAAGCGCTCCTACCTTCACCTGGTTCCCTCTGTGTGCTGCAGGGCAGCAGCTCGCTGCAACAAAGGCATCGAGGTGCTGCTGGCCGTGGCGCTGGAGCACTTTGTCCTGGTGGTGGTGAGAGTCCTCAGGGGCCCCACTCAGGCTGACGAGTCAGTGAAGAAGATGAGAAATCTGGTTCATTGTCAGTGGTGTGAGGAGAGAGTCTTCCTGAAGCACAGCAACATGGTGGATGGTAAGTGTCTTCTCATTTGTTACATTTAACCTGAGAGTTTGTTGATGATAACTCAGCAGCTAGCCCATGAGATAACGCATGGATAAGAGGTTAGTGTTTTTACTAGTATTAACTAATTTAAAATGAACCTTAAGATTAAATACATCGTTAATACGTTTTCTTTAAAAAGGTTGTTGATTAAGTTGGACATAATTGGTGAACAAACGAAATCAATCTTGTGGTGTGTTTCCTCTAGACACACTGCCCTGTACCTGTCATGGAAGTCTGCCTGGGAAGACGGCGGTGCAGCTGGGACCCATATGGTAAAGACGAGCACCAGGCGCCACTGAACGGCAAAACAAAACACTAAGTTCCGAGACGCTGATATGCCTTTTATTATATACGTTTCTTAAGAGTGCTGAGTTTGTTTACATTCAGCGACTGGGCGCCGCCATATTTAAATTAACAACGTTGCCTCTCGTCATAACGAGACCTCCTACTACGTCAATAACTGCCGGCTCTTCTTATCAATCTGTCGGGTTAACAGGCCTTTATGCCAATTAAATATCTTTGAAAATGAAAACGCGTCACTTCAAGGGGACACCGGCGGCATAAAATAAAATGTTAAATGTATGTTTTACACGCCGGAATTTTTCATACTGGGTTTGTGATTGTCCGGTAATTTATTAATCAGGAAACAGGCGACGTCATTTTGACTCTCGCGAGCATTCTGCGGAATAACGGGAAATGTGAAGAACTTACAGAAGTTAGTGACTGAAGGAGAGCGATGTTAGCAGATGACATCATTAATGTAGAAGTTAGTGGCTGAAGGAGAGCGATGTAAACATGTTAGCAGATGACATAATTAATGTAGTAATACTGTTTTTTAAAATTAACTTTTTATATAAAGCCATATACATAATTTTGTGTGATTACACAAAAGTATGTATATGGCTATATATTATAAATATTATATCAACAAGTTTCTAATAGAAGGTTTGGGTTTTGTTTCAGGTTTAAATCCATGTCTACAAAAATACTTGAACTCTGCCTTTGATTTGCCACTTAAATATGAAAATCAAGGCTGTCAAATGATTAACTTTTAATCTGATTAATCACAGTTCAGCAGTGGATTAGACACGATTAGGCATATGTTATTATGATTTTAAATGCATGTGTGCTGGTGCAGGTCTGGATCTCTGTTCAACATAGGCTTCCTCAGGAGGATGCTGGTGGCTGCAGTGAAGCACAGCATGGATGACATCCAGCCTCTCATTAAGACTCTGATCTGTGAGTCTGAGTGCACCACGCTCAAAGCTCTGGTCCACGGGCCGTCTGTTCTCACCAACCAGGGTAAACACCCACACTGCACAAGCGTGTGTGACTGAATGAGTGTGTGTAAAATTCCTGCAGCTCCTTTTTACCTGGTGGTTGTGTTTCTCTGCAGTGGAGTGTGGCGTGGTCATTAAGACCTTACAGAGTGGAGAGGAGTCAGCTGATCAGTCAGGTGAGTCACTGCAGGAACCTGTCATGGTGCAGCACTAAAACATCGGCGCAGCAGAACTGAATTAATGGACTTTTTTTTACTGCACTTCAACAATAAACTGATTTACTCCAGAAGGATGCAGTAATCTGTACATCCGCAGTACTGCTGAAGTAGACAAAAATCAGTGTTACTGAGATGACGATGTATGCAGACGTAATACAAATATTCCTCGTAGAATCCTCCTTTCTTCAGCAAATCACTGACAGAGATCCGGTGTCTCCATGAAGTGTTCTGTCTGAGTGGTTTGAGTTCAAAGCCCATGGGCTTTGCCTTCGTCACTTGAGCAACACACCTTCAGGTACACCAGACACTGGGACCGCTCCAGGTCACCTGTAATTAAAGCGTTCAACCTAGAGAGGGCAGTGTCGGTTTCTGCAGTAGCAGCTCTTGATTAATCCATCAGTTAATTATAAGCCAACATTCACAAAACCAGTAAAAAGCCAGGAAAATGAATATGTTCAAAAACTACAATTTAAAAAAATACATTATTACTTTTTATCTTTAACCGTTCTGCAGGTAAAAGAAAGAGTGGAGAGGATTCTGGGAACATTCTGAAGAAACTGAAGTCAGATGCGTCCCTGGAACATCCACCGTTCTACTACAGCATCCACCGTCACAGCATCCGAGGCATGAACATGCCCAAGTGAGTGAAACTGACGTCGGCCGCTTCTACTGCAGTGGCTTTTATTAGAATTTTTTTTTTTTAAATGTGATGTGGTTCAGTTGAAATCACAGGTTTATCCAAGGACCAGGTGTACCTGGTGAGGTACCAGGTGAAACATTCAATAAATTTTCAACAATAAAAACTCAGATGTCAAATAATTTACAGTAATTTAGAAAAAGATTTGCACAGATTAATTTGGATGTTGTAATGAAATACTGGAAAAGTGTTGTAAAGATTTGATCAGGTTAGAGTGGAGCCACGCGTGGAGATGGAGCAGGTGGAGGACTTTTTGAATCTCCCGGACGTTGTTGTGACTTTGGTTTGTGTTTCCTGTTTCCTTCTGGGCAGGTTGAACAAGTTCCTTCAGTACCTGACGGAGGCGGGGTTCAGGGTGGCTCGCACGCACTTTGACCCCACAGGAGTACGGACCGACGCACGGCTGGAGCAGTTCAAGGCCGTCCTCACCAAGTACAGCGTCCCCACCAACACCAGCGCCGCCACCAGCACCTCTCAGACCAGTGGCAGGGTGGAGGGCGTGGCCTGAGGGAAACCAGGAATGATGCTGTGGAATTCTGGGATTCCTGTGACTCTGCTCTGTGTCAGGTTTAAAACAAAGAGATTTATTTGTTAATCAAAGCTCAACTCTGAGCACAGTTTATCTGACACATTTATTTATTTCACTTTCTTTTCGGTCCCAGGGATGAAACATTTTGTCAGTGTTTCAGTGTTAACGTGGTTTTGTTTCATTGTGTCTGTGTTTCTGCCTTAATAAATAAATTAACATTTGTGCAAAAACTGAATTCCTGTGTTTGGTATTACATTTGAGCTGGAATAAAGAATGAAAAGAAGAATAACTTTCGTCACCTCTGCACTATTGTGATTTGGTAGCAGTATTATTTATTGCTGGATTTTTTGGGATTTGTTTAAATTTAAAAAGGAGCACTGTGAGCTGACTGTCGAACTGTCATTCACACTGAAGGTCATTCACACCAATACTCAATCTTTTTTTTAAATTCTTACTCCAGCGACCACTCGAAGGATATTCGTCGTGTTCTTATGTAATACGTTTATGACGAATGTGTTACGTCATCGTTTCTTGACGCGACTGATGTTCAGTGGACTGAAAAGTTTCATCCAACTGGACTCACCAGGGTTCCTGCCATTTATTTACACCACTTTTTACAGTGGTGTGTGGGAGGGAGAGAGAGAGAGAGAGTTGTGGTAAAAAAGTGAGTTGCCTGTGGTGGGTGAGCGTCATAAGAGGGAGGAGTGTGTAGCCATCCTCCCTCCCTCGTCCTTCCTCCTTCTCCTGCTCCGGTCTCCTCCCTCTCTTCGTGGCTCCTCTGTGGTGACGGTGCTGTCTGTACCTGGAGGTCTCAGCTCCACCTGTGGATCCTCTGACAGCAGCAGTATGGGAGTCTCCGCGTCCAGTCTTCTGGATGAAAACAAATCAAACTACATCAAAGGTAACGAAACAAACAAACAAAATACAAACAACTGCTGATTTCTTTCTACTAGTTCTTTTTTATCTCTCTCTTCTTTCTTTTCCTCTTCTTTCTTTCTTTCTTTCTTTGGTTTAGCGCAGTTTTCACCGCGCTCTCCTCTGACTCGGTTCTGTGTCACTGCTGGATGAGTGGATCGCGTTCTTTCCTCTTTACGCATCAGCGGAAACAGTGAATCCAACTGTTGCTGCTGCTGCTGCTGCTGTTACTGTTGCTGCTGCTGCTTCCAAACCTGTCCGTCTGGTTTTCTTTCTCTTTGACTGAACTATCCATTCTCCAATCCATTCTCTTCACTCTGGACCACTGTTGTCACCACTGGACTCTGCAGGTGTTGAAATAGTTCTAGAACTTTCCTATCAGTCACTACAGGACCAAGCAGGTCCACAGTATGGTCCCAGGAATGTGACAGATGTCAGATCTTCCACCAACATTTATTTTGTGGTCTTATATGTTTATATTTTCTACCAACCTTTAGCCTTCTTGGCTGAAACTTTAACCATTTCTAACTCTTAGAAAACTGTTAGCGCTTGGTGGTTTAATGTATTTATAATATAAACCAACTTTACACTTAATTTAGGTTAATTTAGGTTTTGGTAATGTTTAAAATATTCCTCAGTTTATTACACTTCATGTGTGTTTTCTAATAGAGCCGTAGCTACATGGTTAAAGTTAGCTTGTTAGCTTGATTCAGCTCAAATGAAAGAATGTGATGGGGTGTCTCCTACCCCCCCCCCCCCCCCCCC